CGATAAAATATGGTAATGGTCTTGAATGCAACGTGTGTGTATATATGTGTGTGTGTGCGCTAGTGGATGTGTTATGCTCATGAACATGAAGGTGTCTAAAGAACTATCGATCCGAATAATTAAGTTGGAAAAGTGTTGTGTGTAATACACTGTGTATGTGTGCGTGTGTGTGGAACTTTCGTTAGAACAATAGAATGTTAATCCGATTACTTCTCAACTCAATTGAACTAAGTGACTTTCATGAGAGTGAGCAGATGAAAAGAGAGAGAGTGTAAAATAAAACGAAATTTGAATATCAAACGTTTAAGGTTGATTACATTTACCTTAAAATTGAATTTTTAGCGAAGAAAACGGCAAATGGAAAATCAAAGTATATATCAGCACAATTGATACGAATTAACCTTACGCCTCACCGACGTCTAACTCAACAAGAAGGTATACAAAAAAGGAACAAACACACAAATAAATTGGCTTACTTTCTACTTCAATATTCAACTAATATGTACGATATACGATATACTCTATGATACTGATACTGTCCCGTTTGTGCTATGAACTACTTTTCAAAAGAATCTATATCTGCATATATATCAAAAAAAACAACAACAAAAAATTGTAAAAAAAATTCAAAATCAATAGAAAATCACTCGGGCTCGATTTTCATGCAAAAAATGTAACGAACTAACAAAACACCGGTAGATAGCAAACAAACGATTATATAGAGGAAACAAAAGCTATTTTAGCGAGAAAAAAGTTTGAGTATGCACGACGTTTTGACACTCACATGGTTGACGGTTCAATGGACCGCAGTGTACTTTTTTGTTTGTTTGTTTGTGTGTGTATTTTTTAACGTTAAGTGTGTTTGTATTGAGTTTGTTTAAACGGTTGCGGTTGCTTTAGACTTGATATGTTTGTCTGTGAGAAAATATATTCACAAATTTGATTCAAAAATAATGGTAATATTCAAAAGAGGTAATTCACAAATGGTTTACTTTCAAAAAATAAATTTAAGTGCACGAAAAAAATCCAATCTATTCACCGGACAATTTTTATTGAGGTAATTAATAAGAAATTTGGAACCACTTATGTTGGCTTGAGATTATCGTAAGGTATCTTAATATTTAAGTAAAAAAATCAAGTTACACTATTGGCCCTGATCATTAATGTATATCATTACGAATTTTAGTAGTCGAAGGGGAGAATTCCTATTAAATGAATGCAAACTTACCGGAAAAGCACCATTTACCGGTGGCACGAGCGAATACAATCACTGACACGATGACTAATAGAATAGCAACACCGACGATGATGCCAATTATTGATCCAATATCGATACCGGTTTCTGCCACATGCGGCGATGAGCTAATATACACAGAATAATCCGATGATCCAAATTCATTTGATGCGCGTAAATAGTATGTTTTGGTTGTGTCTTCGACTGTTAAGCCGGCGATCGCCAGTGTTACGTTGTAAGTACCGTTGCCCAAATCAACTGGATTGTATGCTTCAAAGCGGCTATTTTGTTGGCCTTGTACAATTGGTTTACCATCAATCGACCATTCAATGCGTGGACGTGGATTTGCGGTGATTGTTACGTTCACTAGTGCTGTTTGTCCCAAAGGCAAACCATACACACGGTTCTCTTGCAATGGCTGGGGTCGGACTGAGCAAAATTATAAATTGGTTTATTTCTCGCGTTAGTTATATGGATTTTTTTTTGGAAATATTTGATATTTTTTCCATTAATTCATGACAGACTTGTTCTTATGGTTTCTTTTCAAAAATATTATTTCTCAATTGTAAGAAAGTTAGAACTTACAGCGAACGCTAAGTTGGACACGGTCTTCTTGCTGTTGATCGGCTGGATGTATTGAGCGACAAATCAAGAATTTACGATCATCGCTGGCCTTCAAACGTCGATTCAATTGTATACCAACTGTATACAAGGTTGTATTGCGACCGGTAATTGAGTCGTGGAGAAGCCGTGGTGCAGAAACACCATCGACAATTTGTTCGCTATCGAGGAACCATTGAAGGTTTGCAGCTGGTCGACCATCACGGGAAATGCATTCCGCTTCAAAGTCTTGATCAATTTCAAATGAACCTCTATTCATATTGGTGTGTATATTGATTTCGGGACGTTTTGGCGGCACTAAACAATAGAACGAATAGTGAATGATAATTATTAATTTGTTGTTGAACATTTTGAAAGTACCTTATAATAGACCACACATTGAACCATCCAATATGGCTCCAGGCGACCCTCTCTTGCATTCTATATTGACAATGTATTTGAATATGACTGCGTTGAAAGAGCGCCATCTCTGAGTGCTCGTGCAAAACAATGAAATTTGCGAAGTTTGCAAGCTTCATTGTTTTGCACGAGCACTCAGAGATGGCGCCCCCAGAAAACGATTCGCTTGAAAGTCTACTGTAAGAGAGGGTCGGCTCCAGGTGATAGAAAACGAAGAAGAAAAAAACAAATGACTATTATAACATTTTGTGAAAATTATTTTTGATAGAGGCGGTCGATAAAATGCGATACGTATTTTAAATTTATTTTGAGCAAATGGTTTATTTATCTGAATTGGTTCCAGGGATGATGATGGCGATAGCTTAAAACCGTTAAATGGGTCATTGAATTTTTGTTTGAGTTGAATTGATGAAAACACGAAAAAACCATTTTTGACATATTCAAGAGAATAGTCCATCCACTCGTTATGAGTACAAATGGAGTGGAGTGCATATTCAAACAATTGACGTTTTATACCTGTCATCGACATTCACATTAAACACTATTATAAATGTGATTGACATCAAGATTGCGATAGAATTTGGGCACATAACAATATCAGAGACTATTTGAAAGCAAATTCAAACATCAATCCTAATTAATTAATCAAGTTTTGAAGAAAAGGTTCACCTTAAATATTCATATAATTTTCAATGTGCCTTTCGGCGCTTTTATTTGAAACAGAAAAAAAATGCAGGATTAGATTAGAATTTTGGGATTTCGTGTGTGATGAAATCTAGAGATAAATTGGAATAAAGTCACCACCGACGTAATGAATTTAAAGTAGTTAAGTTGTTTCTTTTCCGATTGACACGGCATATAAATGAATTTGATATGGCCTTCGTTAAAATAAAAAAGATACATATATCGCTCAGAATGCATAAATTTATTAATCAAAAAGGTTAATGGACACGATATCGACATTTATATTAATGAAAAAAGCCATTTTTCCTATTACTTTTAATTCGCACTTTTGAATGTGGATGAGAATGTGTGTTCGTATCATGGATGAAAATTGAAATTGCTGCAAAATTAAATCACAAATTAAAATGGACACAAATGTTATTTTACTTACATGCAACAACCAAATCGATTATGCCTTCAAAGTCGCTTTTTTCTCCACCCAAAATGCACTTGGCTGGCCCATTGTGTATTAGTTTTACACTTTGAATTGAAACACCGCATTCGCCCTGATTTAAACCTTCGCCGAAATACTTGAAGTTTGAATTATCCGAATCCGATTTATCGAACAGTCGGACTCCTTTTTCGCCAGGTATTTCGAAACTAAAACAACATATCGAAAAAAGACGAAAGAGAAAAAAAGAGAAACAAACATATAAATAAGGGTGAATATTTTTCGTGTGTCGAAGATTATGATTTCCTGTCAGAAAAAAGTCCTATTATCATTATTATGGACTTTATTTCATTTTGTATAATGTCTACCGGCACAAATTTTTATTAGAAATATGGTGCGTGTGTACTTGAAATTAGAGCGAAGGATTGTGAAAAGGGGGCGAAAAATGATATGTACATCAAAATATAGAAAAATTAATATAATTTTTTTCTATTGAATTTTAGAGAGAAAGAGAATTAAAAAAAAGACAATGGAAGTAAACAACGAACGAAAAATAAAAGAACGAACAGCTTCATGAAAACAAATATGTATAAATCTAAAACAGGTGTTACATCAATCCAAATCACTGGACCTTAACGTTTCAAATGTGCACACATACACCAGCATAGTCGATCTCAATGGCGTTGCACGAAATGCAACGACCCAACGAAACAGAGAATCAACACGAAACACAAATTTTGTTTCGGGTTAATATTGTTTGTATGATGATGCGTGTGTGAAAATCATTGTACAATTCTTTTATAGCTGTTGGTCGGTCGGTTTTGTTCGACATGACCAGCTCGCTGTGAGTGTGTGTGTTTGCTGAGTTCTTTTCTTCGTAACACTCTTTGTCATTAACTGTTTGCCTGTTGCAATCGTCACATTTACATGCCATCGAAAAAATGAAAACGTACACACAAAGACGACGGACGCCAGAAACAGGGAAAATGTTCGTTCACGAAAAAATGCATTCATTTTGAGGCTTCGGTCATCGCGTTTTCGTGCGTCATACAGAGAGCTTCGCATTTCATACTAATATTTTATTTTTGTTGAAGCTTCTTCTACTTCTTTTTTATTTATTCATTATTATTTATAAATTTAAGTTCGAAAGGTAAACGTAAAAAATAGACACACAAACATAAAAAATATATGTGTTCATCAAACGCAACCTAATATTTTATGGTTCAAAACAATGCTGATGGAAAGAGAAGCAGAGTGCGAATGAAAGAGAGTGAGACTAAATTGTTCTATCGACTATTTTGGTTCTAGTCCGTCGAGTTTGCGTGTGTTTGAAGTTGGGGGCATTGAAACATTTTTTCACCTCGTCTTCTTCAAACCAAATTGAAATTTTGGATAATAAATGAAGCTATAGAGTGACTATAGCAATGGCAACAATGAATATAATGCCACTCAATGAGATGGCTTATAAAAATAGAACCAACCGAAAAAATTGAAGAATTCCGTCCAACGAAGCAGCTATTAAAGCAGAAAAAACTGAAGCAGAAAAAATGTTGCTGCTTAACGAGAGAGTAGAAGATAGACACACACACACACATACACACAGAGAGAGAGAGAGAGAGAGAGAGAGAGAGAGAGAGAGAGAGAGATATGGAGTTCATTGACACCTGATTCTGTTGATGAACGTGGTTTCGGTTCTTCCAATAAAATATAGTCTCCAGTGAAATGAACTTTTCATCTTATTCTCATTCTCTTGCAATCAAAAGAGGTAACTCTTTTATTTTTTGGCATCTGACTGCACATTAGCCCGTATAACTTCAATGCGCATGCACACAAAGTTAATAGAACGTTATATTCATTGTTTTGGATTAAAATATACTTTTGAAATGGATGCATTATATGTAATGGAAAAATTGTGTATTTAAGCGAAGAAACGACGATCGGGCGGATTAACGTTGACTCATAACTGAGCATTAGCGTAAATATTGTCCGTTTATTGACCACAAAACAATGAACTGCGATGACTCAGAGTAGAATCCATAATAAAGAACAGTTCATTTTTCATTTTTTTAAATTTCAAATGGTCATTTTTTGATATTTTCTTTGTGCTAATTCACTTCTTTCAACATCAACGGCAACAACATAAATTGGTATATAGAATTTTGATAATGCTTCTTTTATGGATTTAGGTAATTCGCGCACTGGTGTGAGTACGGCTAACTAACTTCGCTATTTACACGTGTTGATACAAGAAAGACAAGCAGTTTGCATCGGATACCATGAAATTGGTAAATATTTTACTATTGCTTGTTGATTCATCTCCCATAAACGGTTAAAATAAGATGCGCGATGTTGATGAACTAGTCTGTTATTGTCTGTTTTCTTCCATTGCTCGTTCTCACACATCGATTAAACGTAATGCGCTTGAAAATCATTTGCGCGTGATGCAACCGGTAGAGAGAATCATCATGGACATCAGTGTATTTATTCATGTGAAAAAAGATAAATCTCCGGAGATATTATTGCATTTCCATAGTTCAAATGCACTTCAGAGTTAAATGGATTGTATGCGTACAAATACATGTCAACTTGAGCGTAAATAATCCGTAAACATGCGTTCTCCTCGGTTTTATTCAATAAATTGAAAACCGAAAACACACACTTACCGGCAAGTAAGGAGAGGGCTGCTTGCTCGACACAACAATGTTGCATTTTGTCCTTCGGCCACTGTTACATTCCGTGGATATGTTTCAACTGATTGTCCATGAACTAATAAGAGATCTGAAACAAAAAAATGATACGCAAATATTTGAATCAATTGATGCAAACAATCAAAAGTAAATTGAAATAGTATAACGATAGAAGAGGTGAAAAAAACATTCGATTGAAAAAAGAAGGCTTATTAATAACCGTCTAGAGTGATGCAAATAAAAAGTTTTTTTTTGTTTTTGCTTCACAAACTCTATTTATCAAACCACAAATAAAAGCGAAACGACATGCAGAGAAAAAAAACATTGTTATTGTACGCATTTGACGAGAATTGAATTAAAAACAAACAATTCGATGTGAAATAGGTAATGAGCGTGGCACAAAGCCAAACCATATCTGTAGAGTGTCAATCATATGCATGCCCAGAAAAAAAACCATTTCAACCCGACACAGACACACTCCATATGAATAGGTTAATTTTTTCGTGTTTTTTCCGTTGTGTTGACTTTTATCATTTGCTTTGTGCATTTACTCTTTTTTTCCTATTCAATGAATTCGAAATAGGATAGAGAGAATGGCTACAATTATGTTAATCCCCATATCTCCTCGAAAAATCGTGAGACGCAACAAAGTTTTTATCGAAAATAAAGAACGAAAGAATTGAAAGACTTAAACATCGATTACGGGCGATTTTGTTTTAGTTTTTTCCTCTTTGTTGCTGTCGCGGAAATTTGTCGCTACATTCGAATTTTGGAAGTGATTACGGAGTTTTTCCTGACCAAATGATTGCTCGAGTTAATGTGAACATTGTTATTTAGCCAGGGTAAAACTCATTAACAAAAGTAGATTTTTTGGGTAGGTAAGTAGCAAACACGTTTGTGTCACTGCACAATGACAAATGATTTCTTCTTTTTGCATGCAGACACCTAATATTCAAATTGGTCGATCTTGGTCTATTGATAGTCTATTTTTGTGCGTCGTTAGAAAGAATGTTTGTCCGAAAATTCATTAATGCATTTTTTTTGTTCCTATTGGTATGTTTTGATCTGGCTTAACTGGCAACATAATACGTCTGTTATTTTAAATTGTATATTCAACGATCTAACAATGAACTAACTACCGTATACAAATATACACATTCGTATGCAAAACCCATTTCGAACACATTTCAAAACGTATGTAAATGGAATGAACGAGCCGAAATATTTACCGAGTTTTTTAATGTCCGCCATGCGGCACTAACAATGCGTCTCCAAATATGTTATGGCATCTAATGGTTTGGTGTATGTGTGTGGCACATACCTTTTTTTATATTCTAATTGTAATTAAATTCTTACGCCACAGTACACCGCTCTAGTGTGGATAGAGCATGTTGTCATACGTTATAATGTTTATTATTTTGCATGTACGTTTACTGTTGCCCAACCGGTCGGCTCTAGCCATTCGCTTAGGCAATATACTAGCCACATATTTATATATTACATTTTAAAACAAAATTATAAACGAGCATACGGAATGAATGATGGATGGAAACTTGATCGACGTGTGCATACGTTTGGGTTCATTTCATGTGTTTTATACTCAAATAATTATTTTTTTTATTCTTCCTGGCAAAACAATTAACGACAATTTTGTAATTATTGGAGAAATGTAAGAACGTGGTGCTTGGATACGTTTAAACGCACCCTTTTTTCGGACAACAACAATAACGGTGGCAGAAATAGCACGTATGTGCATGAGTGACTCAAAAGACACGTCATAACGAATGTGCTGTCAGGAAAATTACCTAATGTGCTGTGGTGCATTAGATGAATAAATAGTATGAAAAACATGCATTCACACGCATCGAAATCGCCCCCATCGCGACGAACATAAAGAGAACAAACGTGCTTAGTTTTCAATATTGCCCTGGAAAAGGCGCATATGTGTCTTTCGACTTTGACCGAGAGAAAGAGAGAGTGTGAGAGAACCTTTAACAAACAACTTATTTACAGCATGAATTATTATTAAGTGAATATTATGTTTGTACATTTGAAAGTGTTACTTTCTATTGGCCCCACCTACTTCGTTCTTTTAATGGTTTTTAATGCACATAAATTTTCCCCGAATATATATATTTGTCTAGTTTCGTGTAAAGATGCAAAATTATTCGTGCATTTCAAATGAGAAACGGGTGCTCGCCGCTCTTTTCCCAACGTATTCAAATAATTTTAGGTAGAAAAAAAACTGATTTTAATAGACTCTTATAAAAAAAAATAATATAAATTTGGTAACGGTTGGTTTGCTCCAGCCGGCGAACAAGTTGATGACCCGTTGAACTGAAGGTATCGAACATTTCATGTAGACATAAGGAAGCAAAGCAATAAAATAAAATCTGCTCCGTTTATTTTTTTTCATTGCTTCAAATGCGACTAACAACGATAATAATGAATGAACGGACAATGTGGATTTCTTTTGCGAGTATTCTCGAATCAGCTTAATTGAATTTCTCTTCGTTTCTCCGGCCATAAAATCCACGAACGAAACAATAAATTTTTGTGCAAAACTGCATTCATAATTAACATATTCCAATTTCAAAGCCGTTTTACATTGTGTATATATTTATGGCTCTTTTTCACTCTTTCCATGTGTATGTATCGCCATTCTAAATCTAAATTATCTTCTGACCTCCTTTTTAGCGAATACAATAGCGTGTCTCCTTTTCGATCTCATTCTTTTTGTGCGCATATCAAACTCATTGTACGCTGGCCATCTTCTATACATTGGCTATAGCAAATGGCTTATATATTTGGCATGTACGAGACAGATATAAATGAGAAAACAAAGACGCAACAAAATCGGTTTTGCAAACGACAGACGATCAAAATATATACACTCTCACACAGATACAACGTGAATTGACCAAAAGCAAAAACAGAACCAACAATCACATGATGTACACACGGCACCATATATTCATAAATCAAAATAATAAAGCAAATGAACAAGAAGAAGCAATATATGAGAGATACACACACACTCTCTCACTTTATCATGAGTAACCGCTGATGATTATACTTTCATATATTGATTTCATAGTTGTTTTCACAAATGGTTGCTTTTACCATTCTTTTCACCTTATTTTCATTTTTTGCTTCAGTCATGTCAGGTCGTCTCTCTCCCTCTCTCTTTATTCAATTTCGTGATTTGCATGTGCAAAACTTTACACTCAACTGACCGACAGTTGGGCTCGACATTTCCAAAAAAAAAGAGAAACCGCTGAATCAAAACAAAATTCAAAATTAAAACGGAATCATTGTTGGCGGAACGATGATGATGAGACTTAAAATAGACTGAAATTGATTTGGTGCTGAAATAGGTGTTTCGCTACGACGAATGAGAATGTGAAAAGTGTAAGCAAAACTGGAAATAATCGCTTATTTATCATGACAACGCAGATCGACGTCGAAAATAATAGCCGCTGCCTGCCACGGCTGTGGAATTGAAATTGACGCGAGATTTAAAGAGTTGGAAGTGCAGTGTGCTTCTTGCGTGAATGATATGCGCTCGCTATTTTTTATAGTCAAAAATTTTACTTTCTAAAATTTCATGGTCAAGCACAGTTTAATTCACGGCTCATTTCATTCATCTCGGCCGTATTGTTTGTGTGTGTGCCGAGCCTTTTTGTGTATCTTGATTTTTTATGTGCACGAAAGATTTCGCCTCACAAACGAAATGGGTACGAAAATTTTTGCGCATAAGGTTTTCTATTAATTACGAACCGAGGGTCAATTGTTGGTCAAATGCCAGTCTGTTTTTTTTTTGGTGCTCTATTGTGTGTGTGTGTGTGTTGCCGCAATAAACATTATTACAGTGCGCTTCATTCAATTTTTTCAAATTGGAAAATACTCAGCCAATAAATTACGACAATCCAAATGGTTTCAAATCTAAATGGACTATGGTGAACTGTGCACATTTCGATTACACATTTGCATAAGCGCGTTTGCCGTTTTATTTGATGGGCTTAAAGTAATTTACGATACGGCCAGACGAAACACACACACCAACCGTGTAAATGCGTGAGAGTAAATGGACATAGTGTTCACAAGCGAGAGGGAACAAACGAATAGAGAGATAGAGAGAGGAGGGATAGAAGATGAAATATGCAACGAGAAAACCAAATGATGCGCTAAAAAAGTAATTCACATCAGATGATTACCATTTCCATTCATTTCCTCTGTGTATACACTCATCACACAATTTCAATGGACAATTGCTGGCTCGCGCGCGTCGCGACTACAGTTTAAATGACAATAATTTTCGTTGATTTGTGTTTTATTTTTTGTAAGTTTTTTCCACTCTCTTGTGTGTTATTTCTCTTACAAGCGATCAAAATCAAGGGCCCAAATCGTAAATGATGTTTGTTGGATAGTACATTAGAGAGAGAATTCGAATTGTTATCAATGGGAGGGAGAGAGTGCGCGCACGAGAGGGAGTGGGCTGTTTTCGCTATAATTTTCTATACAAAATATAAGAGATTGAGATATCGTTCACAATGTGTACAATTTAATTTTGACTGTAGTTACTCTGTGGCGCGTTCTGTTGTCGTCGTCGCTGCCATCGAGACTATTTCAATCAAAGCGGCAAATAAATTGTGTGAGAGTATACAGGAACCGTAGGATTGTGTATAATTCGAGCATTTCTCAAGTGGTTTGCTTTGTATTTGACTGGTAATTACAGCCGCTCGGTCATTTCCAAATAGCGATCACCGTTCGTGCTGATATTAAAGTTATAGCAAAGAGAAGAGAAAAAAAATTGTGCGCATTGGTCGATTGAGGCAGCCTCAATATATTCCGGAAACTCATTTCTTTCGATTTTTTGTGTTGCCGTCAATTCTTGATTTCAAATGAACGTGAAAAATGTCATAAAATGGTTATTTCAAATGAACCCAAAAGAGAAAATGAAGTGGCCACTTCGAAAGGCAACAACAACAGCGACAAAAAAAAGAAAATAAGAAATGAGAATTAAACTACCTATATATGAGTGAGACAGAGACTTTTCGTGTGTTCGAGTACACTTCGTCAAGGTTGAGAGAGCCAACCAACCGAATCTTTCTTTCGTTCGATCGCATGAAGAATGTTCAAAGAGAGAAAACCGATTTTTCAGTTCCTAATCTAAATGTTTATGTTTTTAAAACGAAAAACGACTGGCAAATGTTCCATTCTACTGCCGTGAGAGCCAGAGCCACCTAACCAGTTATTCATACATATTTTTTCTAAATTCATTTAATAACAATAAAATCGATAAAATTCCATGTATGCAAACGATCGTAAAATGTCTCATTTTGTAAGAAATACACAAAATATTAAAAAATGCAATACAATTGATCGATAGTTTAATTAGGCAGCACTAAAAAGACTCATTCATTCGAATTAGATTTTATATAGGTATCGGTAAAATTTATTGCTTTGAAAAGATGTTTTCAAAACAACAACAAAAAGGTACTTAAAGAATTAGTGTCGATGATGACCGTTGATTCGATTAAGGTGAAAGAACGATCAAAAAACGCGCACGTTTCTATCGCTTTGGATCATAGATGCACGCACACCCGCCTATACGGCCGCGATCATGTAATATGATCTATTCACTTTTGGTTTGATGTGAACGAATGCTGCTCATCATTACACCGGCATTAATCTTCATCTTCCGAGTTATTTCAATTTCTTTGCGTTATGTTGCTTCCTAAATTCTTTCCTTTGTTTTCTCTCTCTCTATCTCGATCTCACTCTCTCCGCGGTCGACCGGCAAGCCTACTCATCGCACTCGATCGAATTCGATTTTTGAGTCGAATCGAATGAATTCCGACGATGCGGTGAAACGAAAACGTAATCTAATTCATGCACTTGCATTACGAATACAATCTTCTTCGCATTGTGATCAGATAATTGCTTCGCTGGTTCTTTTTCTCTTCCTCTCGCTCATTTTGTTGTTTATCTCCTTTATATTCTTTTGATGAGCTCTATTCCATATTTTCAGCCCACTCTCTGCAGTGAGCGCACATCGTGCATGATGACGCACCATTTAAATTACAGCTAAACTACATACATAATAAAATGCATAGTTACGTATTCGTTGTATGCAACTGATTTGCGCGCTCGCGCACACAAATATACAATCTCAAAACAATGTACTGTCAATTATTTTCCTATTAAACGTAGAAATATGATTCAAGGCTTGATTTGATGACTCCGAGATAAATGATATTTAAATTTCAGTTGAATTTCAAACCAAAGAGAGGCGAACGAAAGAGAGAAGAAAAAAAACAAATGGAGAAGAAAATGAACAATGTACATGTCCCGAAGATGAGACACGCTGACACAAAATGCAATAAACAGCAATGTCAGCAGAAAAAAAAACAGCCGCAATATAATGAGAATTAACAATTGTTTGAAATTAAATCTTTGGTCGTGTCTTCGTTCCGATTTATCAGTGAGTTCGACCGCTCACATTTCTTCATCACACACCGATCGGGTGAGAGAGATTGTTAAATAAATGTCTACACATTCAACGTGTATTTATGTGATATTTTTTTCCTTATTCAAATTGAAAATGGCGGTTTTTTTTATTTGCCATTTGTGTTTAGATATTAATAATCATTTGTTTGTGTAGTGTTTTTTTTTTCTTTGTTGTTTTGTTGCTTTGCTGTTGTTGTTGTTAATTAATTTTTCGCCGATGAGAGCGCATTTTGGTTTTTAAGAGAACCGCTTCGCGCCAATCATTAGACACACTTACACATTTATTGCAGCGAGCTGGAAAAGCACTTGCGTTATACAGTTGTTGCAGGCCAATGGTAGCTGCTGCGACTTGAATTTATAATTATAATCGATTCGAGAGGACAGTGATTAAATCAATTGCAAACGGCGATGAAAATTGTTTTGAAATCGCCACGGAATGCAGTCACCGTTATCGTATATTTCATTTTGTGTTATGTTTAGTTTATACAACGGAAAAAAGCAATAAGTGTAACGTAAACACAAACAATTTTTATTGTGCGAATACAAACGAAAGGATGCATTGGAATCCATGAATAAATAACAAACAAAACGAAACAAATATCTTCAATTTATTTAATGAATATTGAATATGGATGTGTCATACAATTTGGTCATCGATTGAAAGTATTTGTTGAGTCAGAACATCGGCGTTGCTATAATTTCGCACAATTTACTGGGAACAAAGGAATTAGTGATTAGCATTATGTCATACACACATCTCTGCCGTACATTTCATCTAAAATGACATGAATTAACTGGATTGATTTCGATAAAAATTGCAAAATAACAACAAAAGTATAAACGATAAAACAACAACAACTCAACGATGTTGTGTGATTCATGTATAACGGGCTAACATATTGAAATTGGTCTCCAAGGTCCGATTGTTCACGTTAGTCGTGCTAGCTGTGTAGCACACATGCCTAAAACTGTATTCTCACTCTATCTCATTGTAGCGGGCAACAAACAAATCATAAAACCATTCACCAAAAAGGCCGCAACAAATAAACCGTAATCCATAGAAGTTAATAAATGCATTTATCTATGCTTCAAACAAAATACACACGCCACATATAACGTACAATATGCGCAACCACTTTCCGTGTACAAAGATTTTGGTTGTTTGTCGCGTTTAAATTTTATGACGGTTTTTACTGTGTTTTATATTTTTCCATTTTCTATGCGATTGCGTTCCATGTCCAATTACTTTTACATAATTTGAAAATGCATTATTTATGTTTCTGGTCATATTTGTGGTTCGACAACGATAACGACAATGATGAAAGTAAATAAGCGAAAAAAATGGACAATCCAAACCAATGGGCAAGGGATAATGCGATTTGTAACACGCTAAAATTTAAAATGTTCAATTACCTGTTGACAAAATGGCAAACAAACACAGGTACACCAATTGTTTCACTCCCGGTATACTTTCCATTTTTTATAAGTTGCTTATAATTTTATCGTTTTTATAACTAAAATCTGTTGGCAATTAATTGATGTAAAAAGAGAGAAAGAGAAAAAACTTGAATTAAAATTTTAACCTGACTGAAAAAATTGAATTTTATTTCTTCAAATTGTGTATAGTTCATAGATTCAATGGAGGAAAAAAAAGATTTTTGCAAAATTGTATGATTTTGATGGGCACATAAAAGAGCTATTAACACAGACACACACTCGATGTAAACCGTTTTATTTTTTGAATAAATAATAAAAATCTGTCGCGCATGTGAATTTGCTTAATACACAGTTTCTGTCTATTTATGTCGTGTTTTTTTTTCTTCATTCTTCTTTTTCGCTATTTTCGGCTTTCTTTCATACCATCGACGCCAAAAGAGGCTTAATATTTAACTAATTTTTTTTTCGCTCAAAAAATATGTTTTAAGAAAAGGTAAATATGTATAATGTTATGTTGTGATTTTGTTTCTTTTTTTTGGATTTCTCTTTGGTTTTTCTTTCGTTTTAGCGAATCGTGTATATTTCTTCTTTTTTTTCGCGCGCGTGTTCGCTTGATTCCACAAAGCACTAATAAAACTTTTCACTGTAATCCGAATGGGATTGTGATCTTTTTTTTCTTTTCTTTTTATTTTTTCATTTATTCACCAGAAAAAGAAATGTATAAAACAGGTTATAAGTTGTTGGACCAAAAATGAATCGTCGTTGTTCGTATCACCGTTGTTTCGCAGGGCACAACATATCAAGCAAAGCATTTCATAAGCGTTGAGAATGACGATTATGATGACATGAGATGTGGTCAATGAAGAATGTCGCGCGAACAGAAAAAACCACTTTTTTATCGGAAAGAAGCGAATACTTTTTTGTTCGAGCAAGCACTTTTTACGCGAAAAAAATGATAGCATTGGAATAAAAACGGTTACAGAAGATGAAGGAAAAAATGTTGAAGTATCTCAAAATTTGAGTGTCTATTTCCTCTTATCGTTCATTCGGCTTTCTTTTCTATAGAATTGCGCCGCGCAAATTCATCGCACACATACACAAGAACAACAAAAAAAAATTTAACAAATAAATACGAAATTTAAATAATAGCACCAGAACGCACCTTAAACACCACTCACTCAACTCAGAAGAGCTAACCGTCTTTTGAAATTTAAACACAGCGAGTACAGAAGATTCGAATTTTCTTTTTCTTTTCTTCTTCTTTATTTCTGCGTTTTACGATATTTATTCTCTTTTTATTCGTTCTTATAACGATAGTACCGCTTTCTTTTACCAAACGATTCGAACTGCTCGAGATACACGACAAGACTACGATCAACAGTCTACAAAACTGACGGTTGAAGTGAACGTGCAACACACATTCCCACATACATGAAAAAAGCGATTGCCGAGCGGCACACAGTGTAGCGGTAGAGCCATTCAACTTGTCTTAATATTGAAGTCACATGCGGGTATTGCCGCTGTTGCACGCGCGTCTGTGTGTGTATGTACTTGAGCATGAATGTGTTTTCGTATTGTGTGCATGAGTGTGTGCGAAGCGCGTTGTGTGCTTGCTTCAGTGAGCCACTTTGTATGCACATTCACAGCGATATGTGTGAAATGCCAAGAGTTTGTTCGAAGCTTTGTGCTTGAGAATGATTTTTCAAAATAAAAAAAAATATAGTACCCATTTTTACGGTGTGTGCAAGAGAGAGCAACATGGACCATTCGAATAAGAAGAATACAAGAAAAAACCCAACAAATCATCAACAATAAACTGGTTTCTGCGCTTTTTCTGCGTTCGTTTATCGAATTTGAATGTGTTTGAGCAGCAGTTATGCGCCTTCAACGGACCAAAATCGTTTCATATATCGCAAAACATGTGTCCATGATGGTAAATTATTATGCTTTGATCTCTCTCTATCAAAAAGAAAATATTTCAAGATTTGGATTCAAGAGAAGAATCACAAACACATCAATAATTATGAAATGCGAAAGGAAAAACATCGATCGAACTAAATAAAGAGAATCAGATGAAAAAAATAAAATACATTCACTGACACCGCTGGTTGCTTGTGTGTATCAATTTAGTATGTATATGGAATGGTGATTCAGACAAACGGTGAGAATGATGCAAGAACGAACGAAACAAAGAGCAATCTATACGAAACGAAGAGAGAGAGGAAGAGGGAGAGAGATAGAAAACTTTTCAAGAATCGAAAATCATTATAATTAACATGTTGGGTGTATTGGAAAAAGATTCGTTTATTGTTCTTTCTAAGATTTTTTTTTATGTCCATATATAGACACAGTTAAGACTATTTGAGGGACGATTTTGTGTGGAACGGACAAACAATTTTTATTTTGTTAGAATTAAAATAAAAGAAAAAATGTTATATTCTTTTGAATAGTAAAAAAAGAAGGTATGGCCGAGGCATATAATGTTTTTCTAGCATGACCATAAATATGTTTATAGATACTTGATCTTCTAACGAACAAAATATAATGATCACATAAAAAACAACTCCAGCGCTATCGTTTTCTTCGAAAATATCAGTACCAACGCAAAACATTGAAAATGAACAGAACAATAACGAGAAAATAAGCAATCGTATTTGTTTGTGTGAGTGATGGTGCGTGTGTATGCGAAGGGACTTTTTCAGAGTGCATAGGGCTCGATGACCGCAAACAAATACAATTCATGCTATAATGTAAGTAATCATAAAACTCGCACCTTCTTCTGCATTCTCTCGAGCTCATGACGCAAACTTCACTTAAATGCATACACTGTGCACAACGATATAAGAAACAACAGCAGCACTAATAATCAATTCAAAACTGCATTGGAAGCCGCACCACAACAGCGAAAAATAAAAAGCAACAAAACCAATCAAGAAACAGACAGAAACAAAGAAAAAGAAGTAGTAGTAGCTGCAATGAAAACCATCCAAGCTAGATTACGTTTCTAATCACCTGTTGTGTGTGTTCGACGATGGCTCAGCGTGTTGTATAGAAAATCGCTGAAACCAGCAGCAACAAGCTGCTCACAAGCGCACACAACCATTCTCTAGAGAGTGAGACTAGCACATTTGACACATGGAATATTGCGACCACAGCCAGCAATGGCTCTTTGTGGCTTTATATATATTGATGTAATAAATTTAAAACACACATTCAGCACCGATTCAACTAGCATCGATGAGAATATCGTGTGTAATATGTGAAGTGGGACAAAATTTGGGTGCGGTTATGGCAACAACAGAACTCAACACACCAAATTATGACGATGATGACGATTTGGTACTACAAATACTATTGTAGAATCATTGTTACTTTTCCTACCGATTTTTTGTGGTCGAATTTATGCATGGCATTCGGGACAAATTGATCGAACAGAGTTCAACGGTAAAAGTCAAAGTGTGGTTGTTTTTTCAGATGCAATCGTACGCAAGTCCAACTGAACCAACAGTATTAATACATATGTGCGATTAATTCAGGTTTGTTTATTGTTGTTATTTTTTGCTTCTCTTCTGCGTTCGGTCAAAGTGCGCAATGTAATTAATATTTTGATTTTTCATCATTGTAAACAAAAACCTTATACGAAAACACGTTCGTTGCGCCTCTTTTCTTCCCCCTTTCATTCGACGCCTGGCTTTTGTTTGTTTGTTATTATTGCTGTGTGAGGCTGAGAGTGTTTTTTTTTTTTTTTTGCTTGATCGACACACACAATCAGACAGCCATTGTGAGAAAAACGCTCGCTTTTTTTGCTGCCTCAGCAAACTAGTGAAGGAAAATTTACAGCCAACATGATTGTCTTTTCGGTTAACACCGTGTTATGTGTCTGTTTGTTTTTTTCTGCTCGAACTCTCGTCATTGCTCTGCAATTACATTGTTGTTGGCTGAGTGCGTTAATAAATTTTTCCCATACTGTGCTCGCAGGCAACACATATACACGCACAAAAAAAATACAACGATTTGACTACATGATGATGGCAAATAAAGTGAAAAAAGAAGAAGCAGTGAACATGCAAACTTCGCAACCAAACAGAATCGTAAATTTGTGTATGCTTTTTTTGTTTCTTGTTTTTTTAAATTTACGCAATGTCCAAATCCCATAAGTTTGCCAAACACAGTCAACAAAAAAAACACAAAGAATAATACATAGAGGGAGGGAGAGAGAGCACTATAAAACGCAATGGCGTTCAATATCGCACAGCGAAAAATATACAGTGTGAGCTGCTGTTGTCGTTTGCTGCAGAAAGGTAAAGAAAGAAACAATTTCGATTCAATGGTAAAGTGGTATTCGCCACATTGCGTGCACATACTCAATTTCATTTCGGTTTTGGTGGCGAGAGAATGAAACAAAAGAACTTAGCGAAAAAAAAACAACAACACACAAACACAATATTATGTATGCATGCAGCTCCCATGATAAAACGTGCACTGCGGTAAATTAGATTGAGTGAAATAAAGCAAGAGTTAGAGTAAGAAAGAAGAAAAGTTGAGTGACACAGTACATAACAATCCTTACGCGTTCGATACGCGTTATATGTACGTACGGCGTGCTGTTATTATTCATCAAATGACCGGTAATGTGGTGTTGAATTCAAGCACAAACTTGCATACGAAATATATGTGCCACAAATTTGATGTAGTCAAACAGCGTGGCAAGGTGGACACAATGTGAATAGAAACAAATGCGTCAGCTCTCTCTATCTCTCCCTCTATCACTCTTTCATACCAGTTCTCAGAATACCCTCACAGAACCAAATACACAATGAATGGAAAAGAGGAAGACATCAGCAGAACGGCAGAGAGAATGAAAGCAAAAAAAAAAACTCATAACGGAAAAATTATGTGACGAGGAGATTAGTAATGTATTTTTGTTGTTGTTTTTTGTTTGTTTGTTCTCTCTTTCTCTCTTTTGTCCGTTTCATTTACTGTTCTCTGGTCTCTTTGGTAGTTTGTTTGCATTCCGCGCGACGCACATTGATTGTGCAAATAATGACAATGTCTCTTCAGACATAAGTTATATGCGATTTGGCATATTCAAAAGCTATTAAATGAACGGCGTCTTCAATATATGCAAATTATTACAATAAGATTTGTCACTCTTTTAATAGTGAGTAATAAATCTGAAGTGATTGTTGTGAGCAAGAGAGAACCCATTGCATTTCATAAATTATGAATGGAAACGACAGTTGCATCGAAGCGCTTGGTGGTCAACCACGATAGACTTTCGTTCCACACTCCTAGTATAAAAAGTAAATCATACTCTTTGGAGATGAAATTCCCCTAGTAAAAAACCAAAACTTTCGAAGGAAAACAGACATTCAGCAATGAGAAAAAAGTTACAAGAGGAAGTAGTGGATAACGAAAAAAAGTTCAAATCATAAAAATTGCACTTAGGTTAATGATGATGACCTTTTTTTTCATACACACAGTTTCGAAGCCAATGATGGCCTGCAGCTATTCTAGTTTCAATCTTTCAAAACCCTTTTCTTGGGCCAACCAATTTTTCTTCAAAAATAGAAAATGATCGTCTCACACGAATTCTGATCATCATCAGGTATTTCGTAATCTTCGCGCTCATATGTACGTACATATATGTACACATTAACAATGATGAACAAGTGAACTTTGTATAGGTTTTTTGTGTTCGCATATGGCTGTACCATGTTTGTCTTGAAATTCGATTCAGATCTGAGTATTAAAATACAGCATTTATTTTTTTTTTCGTATTTACAATTTTATTTCACTCAATCATCCAATAAAAACGTGTATATAGTTACTATACACTATTGTGTGTCGATGCCAAACCGTTTGTTCCAAAAAACCGTTTATTCTCTCTCTCTCTCTCTCTCTCTCTCTCTCTCTCTCTCTGTGTGTGTGTGTGTGTGTCTCTGTTGTTTTATGTTTTCGTTTTATTTTCAAAGAGAGCTGTGTGTAAATATATAATTCTGTTGTTTATTATTTGTGTAATCGTTTACCAAATTCAAAAGCAACTACAATTTCAAATACACAAACTGAATTTAAAAAAATATATATAATACATGTGGTGAGGCTTCATTCGAAGTACATGCACATGGACAGAATAGAGTATGCGTGTGTGTTGGTGTTAAAGTGTAAAAACTTGAAAATACATGCTTTTGATTAAAACAATCGGTTCGGATGTTGAATTCTAAGCACGATGGGCACTTGCTCAGAATTGTCCAACTGGATACTTTCAAATCAACTTGTCAAATGAGAAAAAGCAATTGCAAAACTTCGATTTAGTTCCAAACTGAACGGTTAATGAGTCGATTTTGGATTTCAAATAAAAGCAAAAAATGAAAACAACTGACAGCTCAATTGAAATATATCATTGATATTTTTTGATTTCATCTAATCAATTTTACTTAAATCAGATTGAGTGATTCATTTGATCTGAGCTGTCCTCTACAAATCAATGATTTGTCAAATATTTTGACAAAATATCCTAAATTGCTTGTCATTAAAATAAAGTTTAAAATCCATAAAAATGTGTACTTTTTTAAGACTGAAAATTTGGGTGGGCCTATTTTAACTTTTCGTTCATGGGCCGTGTGCCTCACTTATTTGGAAACCACAGGTTTAGTCCTACACTGTACATACAAACCGGTTTTGTGTATTGAACTCTCTTCTGAACGCGCGTTCGACGATTGGAGTAAAAGAAGTAAAACAATTTTTGATGGCATACAATAGCAACAAACACAAATACCTCTGAAAACCGCATACAAGAACATAATGAAAAAGCGTACTTTGGAATATACACACAAACACATACCGCATCATCACCATCATCAAAATTGACCAAATGTACAGAAAGCGAAACATTTTGCAGCTCAATTTTGATCGTGCTTTGAAGCTGGTACATTAAAAGACTATCGGCTAAGAAACTATAAGCAACAGCAACTAGATAGAAAAACTTATGCTTGATGATTGCGTATGTCGAAGAGAAAACATTGTATCAATCAATGTTGAATATATTAGTCATAAAAACCACAACACATGCGACACCATAATATATACGATGCACAGGTACTGTGTAATACATTATGAATTCGCAACTAAAGAAATTACAATTAACGCAATTAAAAGAGCAAGGCGAAGAAAATATAACACATCCGAATGCTGAGGATAAGTATAAAAGAGACACAGTCATTTATAGAGAGAGAAAACGCGACCAATTTGTGGTAGCGTTCCGAAGAATTATTGGGCTGTTGGAACTTGGAAGAAAGAGAGAAAAAACTCACATCATAATATTAACGGACACGATCGTGGACAGTACACAGAAATCGGAGCATGAACATGACGAAGAAGAAAAAAACATAGTCAACAATATATACATAAAACGTTTTCAAACAATCCAATAAATATCAGAGCAATGGTAATTGGCCGCGGACACATACCATATCTTTATCCAATATGACTGTGGTGATTTTGGCACGCTGTTTTTCTCTCTCTACATATCGATGCCAGCCATCGTGCATTGAAAACAAAACAAAAAAAGCGAAGAAAATCAGAAAACGCTATCATTTAAATGGCACGCATACACACACATATTCATCGCGTACCAATATATTAATTGTGTTAATTTGCAACCGAAGAAGAAGAAGAGTGAAGAAAATCTGCGGCAGCAGAAATAGAAAGTGAACTTTATACGAATGACGAATGCGAATGCGATAATGTCGATGGCAATTTGTTGTGAATTGCAGCCAGAATACGAAGCAATAAATTCATGCAAACACACATAAAAACTACACATAATGTTGATAATTATGTGTCAAATGTGCCACAGCAAATGAAAAACACGCTCGGATGTTTTGAATTTCGAAACAACAAGAAGAAAATGAAGAATCATTTAATGTTTTATTGTGACAACGTCATCGTAGCCGGTACAAGTATATACGCGAGCGCGAAAAATTGAAAATTGTTTCGAAAAAAACATCAAAAGAGCACTTCAACAACAATATATAATAAAAAAAATTGTGATGAACAAATTTCACAGCATATATTGCCATTAGTATATTTGACCTGGTTTCTCTGCACAAACCAAAACCAAATTGTTTATTTTAGTCATTCCATTTTGTTGTATATTTTGTTTGTATATTTTTTTTTATTATATTTGGCATAACACTTTGCAATGAAGTTTTTTTTTATTCATTTTGTTTATACTCTATGTGACTAAAACGTAAACAGTTAAAAAGTTTAATCATGTAATTAGCGCAGTTAACAGAGAAATTTTCATATTAACTCTTTTGGAAATTTCTTTTCCATTACATATAATAGGTTTTATGTCAACGACCATATTCCATGGGCGTAATAGAGACCAAATTCTTTTACGTCGACGAAATCGACGGACACAATATGTTCGATTGTTCTGAGATGCAAATCAACCACATTGTAGTCTACAATCGAATGGAAAAAGAAAAGAATTTCGTACACTCAATATTTGTGCTTATTTCTATATATAGAAGTAACCTATAGGTAATAATTTTTTTTCGGTCCTATATTATACAAGATGGTTATGAGTCATATCCCGGTGCCGTTATCACAACTTTCAATGGAATACTTTTTGCGCTTTTATTTTGCATTCTAAGCAGGCGAGATGAATAAGATAAGGGTGACGCAAACATTTATAGCAAGTCATATTTCAGAATGCCATTTAACTGCCAAATGATTCATTGTTTGATTTATGAAACGCACCGAAGACATCGTCTTTTGCGCCATCTAGTGAAATTGAATGGCATTTTTCAGTGTTTACAGAATTGTTTTCTTTTGTATTCAACGAACTTTGTCGTTTTTTTATAACGAACTTTGTCGTTTTTTTTATAACGAACTTTCATCGTTTTGAATGAGCATGAGCTCATTGACATCATCGTTTTAGAATAAAAAGAATTAAAACAAATAAATGAGAATTTTTTGAACAATGATATAATTGAATATTATAAATAGCATCAGTTAATTTTATCGTAAAATAAAGAAATTGTTTATTTATACGTTAAACAAAATCAATTGCACTCAATCATTTTAAGCCGAAATATCATGAGAAAACTACAGCCGAAATCTGGTTTACTTTTGCTTTGATAACTGATCGAAGAAATTGAATTTCACGGAAAACGCTTTGCTCCAACATAAACAACCACATTTTTTCAAATTAACCAAATATTGATAAATTGTACAGCGATAAGAAAGCAAATTTTATGATCATTGTTTTGACTTGGATATTTGTTTACAATAAATGTTTCTTGGAATTGATTGCCAGCAGTAATATACACCGATTTAACGAACAGTGGGCAGCGAACACATTTTTTTTTAATGTGACTTCCTCTTATATTTGATGACACATCAGTGTATCCATTTCGCCGTACGCTTTGATGCAAAAGATTTGCGCTCTACACAGATCGATAGAACGTTCTTATGTGTATTATGGTTTGACAACAAATAAACTATACTCAGTATATATTTTCAAATTCACTCAGTGAGTCGAGATTTTCATTCGAAATATAGTGATTATTAGCGTCTTATACGCGGACAATTATTGTTGTAGTTTATGAAAAGGTTCGCAATGCAATTTTTGCCAGACATAATCGATCCGGATCACAATTGGGAACAAGAAAATATTGCATTTGATTCGATATCCGATTCCAATGTGGCACCCATCGAATCCGTGAGTATACAATAAATCCATTGTTTTTTTTATTAAATATATTTTAAAAATTTCATTCTAATTTTGAAAATTCATTCAATTTTGAATCGCAGATAATATGGCGTGCTGGTGATTTAAAGGCTATGACTGAGTTCAAAAATGTTGGTCATTTGATTATAAATCCGGATGTTGACGTGATAGAGCCTCAATGCGATTTTCTGGATTTTATCGCGGAAAAAACGTTTCGTCATCAAAACTAACGTCAATTGACACTGTTCCTATGTAGTGAAAATTATATTGTGCCAAATGAAAACACAAAGATGAAGCTAAAGTCGATGCTTTCACACTTGCACAGTTTTAATTTGGTTTCCGAAAAAGGATTCAACTTGGAAACATTGAAAGAACTGTTGTCATCGTGCATCAATTTAACTTCACTATCAATCAATTGTATCAAGTACGTGGATTTGAATTGGAACAGCCTCAATGTAAACATTCCAAACTTGGTTGAGTTGAAATTCCATTTGAATGTTTCAATGAACGACGATGGACTCGAACTGTTGCTAAAACTCAATCCGAATCTGAAAAAATTGTATTTGGACGAATGTATCAGCTTAACACCAAATGCAATTCAAATTATTGCACGCTGTTTGCCAAATCTTGAAGAACTCTCACTGGGCTATTTACTTCAGAAAGTTGGCGCTGTGGATTTGTGGTGCCTTAGCGAATTGAAGCAATCAAAATCTCTCACTGTCATATTGGGGCCAGCTCTATCGATCATTCATGTAATGTCTGAAAACGGAATTCCCATTGAAAATTTGATTCTTTGGTATGTCGACGTACCTGATGCTCTTATCGATAAGATATTGAAACTGAAACAAATCAAGAGCTTGGCAGTTTACAACAATGGCAGTGTTAACATTAAGGATGCTCATTTGGAGTTACTTGCTAAAAATCTACCATCCTTAACTGAATTTCGGCTAAGTCATTCGAATCATGTGACACTTGATGCATTGAAAAATTTTGTGTGTTGTGCCAAAGTTCTTGAATTGTTAGCTTTAAACGATATCAAAAATATTACTACTAATAATAAAGACGATTTATTGTATTGCGTGGATCAACACTCAAATTTGGCAATTGAAATTGATTCAAGCGAAAATTCCACAGGATTCAATGTGAACAATGGCTTAAAATGTGATCAACACTAAAAAAATGAATAAATTGTTTATTTTTTCTCAACCATTTCATTTTTTTAATAAATTCTTTTGATCATACATAGAAAAATAGCAGGAAACTTTTTAAAGCAAGGAAATAAAAATGAAATAAATAGTAAGTAATCAATTTGAAAGTGGCCCAAATACTCCATTTGTTGTCATAACTGTATAATAGATTAGATTTTTTAGACGAACATTGAAAAGAAACCATATTCGATCTATTAAAATCACTTTTTATTTTCTGCTTTTCGTCGAATTAAATGTAACAAAAATGTATCCTATTTCCAATTTGAATGTTTTTAGATATATATTTTTTTTATTCGAATAATCGCATTCAATAATATGTGGTTTTGTGTGTATTTAATTCTCTCAAATATTACTAAAATTTAGAAATGATTAGGTTCAAACTTAATGTGTAGCATGATTGGTATTAAATTGCCATCATTAGAATGAGTCTCGTGGTGCATACTAAGATGGTGTGAATGTAAATGCACCGCTAATCAACTTCATTACTAATATCAGTATTAATGTAAATTACATCAAACTTAGATGTTATAAGGTTAAATGTTGAAAAGATCAAAGTGAAATGCTTATCATCTAAATCGCTTAGATCGACTAAAATTGTGTGATTATCCATCATTTTAGTTTTAATAGATAGTTTTAAACTTTTGTATTTGCTTTAAACGCTACACTATAGCAAAATGAGAAAAAAACGGTGACAAATTCTTTTATTTTCGAAAATATAAAAAACCGCATTCTCCTCTTGCGACCAGTTTCTTTTTCTGGAAGGTTTTAAAATATATAAATAAATGAATAATTTTATTGCAAAATCAAATTGAAATTTGCCCATATATTCGATAATGTTATTCAATTTTCCATCAAATAAATTCATTTTTTATAATATTTCTTTCAACCCACAAAATTACAAGTGTATACACAGATACAGTTAGCTTCTGAGCTTCAGTTTATGTTCAATGAGAGAAGAATCTATTGCAAAATAAAAGAGAAAGTAATGTGAAGAACAAAATATAGATGAATGGATAGGATAAATAAGCAACCGTGACCATTTTTGGTGAAATTACTTTCTACCTTAAACCCTAAACTGTATCTCTCTTTCTCTTGCACTAAATATATTTGTATAATATTATTCTGTGAAATCATCATTTCAATCCTACAATTAAAGTACACACTCTAAATTTGTATATATTAACGAATCACTTTTGATTCGTTTTCATCAATCAAATCATTCTTTTGTCCAACATATTTGTCCACTAAGCATTCCTGTCAATTGTTTCTTGTTTTTTTTTTTTTGTTGTTGTTGTCGTATCATTTGTTAGAAATTATTCATTCTCGTTAGTTTCATTTGAATTTTTTTTGAATTTGTTAATTTACACAATGTAAAATGAGGTGTTTTTTGTTTTTATCGAAAATTTGTTGCGCGATCTATACCATTTCCGAGTATTTATGCATGTGTAAATGTACAATAATAGCATTTTGGCTAGTGTTTTGTGTGTTTTATATGTGTTTCCTATGCTCTTTACAATATACGTAAATTATACATTATTAATTCATTCCGTTATTTTGCTTAACTCACATTTTATAACATAAGTATAGTTTGTTTCATATTTTGTGTTGTTTTTGTTGTTGTTTGTTTGTTGGCTTGAACACATTCTGTTGGTAGCTGTTTATGGTTGTCAGTCTTTGAGCAAAAATCGTCGTTAAATTGTTTGTTGTGTTCTTTGTTTTCGCGTTTGATTGATTAAGATTGCCGTTCGTGTCGCTGTTTTATAATAATATTAATATTATGATTATGATCTCGATGTACGATCCAAAATTTATGTCATATTCCATGACGATGATGAGCATGAGGACGTTTCATCGATTTCGTTGTTGCTTGTATTGCTATCGAATGGCCGAGGTGCCCAAATGCGTACGGTTGCATCGTCCGATGCAGATGCCAACATTGACGGATAGACTGGATTCCATGATACACAATTCACTGTTCGTGTGTGACCGGTTAATTTGGCTAACGGTTCTTCACGTTTTATGTGCCAAATATATACCTATGAAACAAAACAAAAAATTGGACGATTTTGTTCATTAGAAATTGATTGAATTTTGAAAGGAGGATTGATTGATAAGTACCTTGTGATCTTCACTTCCACTTGCAATAAAGCTTTCATTAATGCCACCAAAACATGAGAAAATTGTGTAAGTTCCTTGTGTTGTACCTTGAAACTGTCGTACCAAACATTTGTCTTCCAAATCCCACAGATGCAAACCTTGTTGCGAACAATTCAATAAAGCTAAACGGTCACTTGAATTGACAACAAATGTCATTATCGAAAATTGCTCCTGAACTCTGTTTTGAAATTTAAAAAGAAAACCCATTTAATTTCTGTTTTTTTTTTTTTTTGAAGCGACTTTTGAATACACAATTCAAACAATGGTACGTACAGTGTACAATCCAAACGTGGATTATCGATGGCATAGAGTCGTATTCGATTAAGAGTATCGGATGCTAAAATCGTTTTATTGTCGCTACGAAATGCTAAACCAGTCACACGGACACCATCCCAACTGTCAAGTACTGTTCCATTTAAATCACATAAATAAAATTGTCCACGCGTTCCGCCCGTTACAAAGCGTTGACCATCTGGACTGAATGAGCCACATGTGAGACTGTCTTCGCTTGAATGTGACATGGTAATAGGAACTTTTTCTTCATCAAGGTTCCAAATCCAAATGTTTGGACATTCTTCGGGGCCACCGACCAATAGATGTTTTGAATCGGGGCTCCATTGCAAAAATGATATTCCATATGTATGGCCTTCAAGGTTTCGACGCATTTTTACTTGATTTTTTTGTGGATCAACATCCCATATTATGACTGACGTATCTTTTGATCCGCTTGCCAATTTCAGGCCATCCGGTGAGAATTTCACAAACCATACTTCGTCACAATGATCATTCAATACCTGAACTGTTTGCACTGGAAACTGTATATTCAGAAATTTTAAGAGAAAAATAAACCGAAATATCAATATTAATTTGAGAAAAAAAAAACAATAGAATTGGTACAACGGTTTGGTTTTATATAGAAAAATGTTGAGTACATACACTATCCATTCCACAGTCATGATCGGTAAGCAAAGAAACATTATCTAAATCGGTTCTCCAACAAACATCATGGCCTGAACATTTTTCAGCCTGAAACTGAACGGCCTGTTTCAACAAACTACGCAGGCGACGTGGTGGCAGCATTACATTCGGTGGTAAAAATGATTGAAGACGATCAATCAATCGTGTGCGTGAGACATCACCCTTTCCTTCCCTGTAATTTTAAGCGAAATCAAATAATTCAATTAACATCGACCCCAGCAACAACCTTCATCATATCATATTTAAACTTCAACATGTGTATGCATACCAATTCGATCTGCGAATCAGCTCCTCACTATTTGCGCACATCATCAAAGAAGAAAGTTGATGTACACGTGGAGTATTGTATTGCAGTGGAGTTAATTCATTTCTTAGTACATGCAGTGCTTCCAAAACTCGTCCTTCTTCCAAATATTCCAAATACTTTTGTTCCAACAGTAAAAATTTCATTTCCTACAAATTGAAACGATTGAAAAATTTTGAAATTTTGTTCGATTAGTAATTCATTCAACTACTTACAACGATATTATTGTGTTTTCGCTCAATAAGTTGTTGCACTTCTTGAAGATAGTGATCAGCTTTGATCCAATCTCCATGCATAACATATTGTCGGAATTTCGTGGCAGATGCATGTTCCAAAACACAGCCAGATTCCTCAATGAGATGATCGGCAGTTTTTCTGCAGAAAAAAATTATATGTTTTCATTAGCCCTACACCTATGAAGAAAATAATTAATATAAAGTGGTGTTGAATGACCTTACCCCAAGCCAACGATTTTCAGGTATTGTCCAATTAGTCGTACGATATCTTGATCCGTTTTCGTTAAATTGACAGGAACAACGTTATTCAACGTTGTTACCCCATTTTCCGTATTTCCATTCAACACATGACCGTTCGATTCCAAATTATTGACAGCATCTGAAAGTAAACAGTCAAAAACAATAATATTTTCTATCACATTTGGAATTTTAAAAATGTGTCATACACACGGTCCTGAGCTGATTTATTTTCGGAAGAGTAACAAAATTTTTTGTTGTTGTTGTTTTTTTTTGTATATTTTCACATCATTTGATGTTATGAACAAAACTCAGCCGCATAAAAGAAGGCACAAATACACACATATACTCAACCACACACACAACTACACGCATAACATCGAACAACAACAACAACAAAATAAAAAACAAAACAAAGAGAACGAAAACATCATGGCGACTGTCATTTTGACATCATTTTGCTACGTATTTTTTTTTTTGTTCAAAGCGATCTATGCTCCATATTGTGCTCTCTTTCGTTCACCTTGCTTTGTTCGATGCCATAATTTATGCGAGAAATGCATTATTCGACATCATAGAAATCATTGTATTTTTCATTGAAAACCCAGCTATTTAAACTCATTGAAATGATGAAATTTGTTTGGGCTTTTGTTCAATCACAATAGCACTGAATAAATTGTAGGCGATGGAAAAAAATGCATATATATTTTTTTTCGCTCATAGTAGTCTGTTTATATTTCCAAATGGACTTACCGTTGCTGTTTAGATTCCCTTGTTCTTGCATTTTGCAAATACCAGTGCAGTGGCTGTTGCTCGTACTCGGATTGTCGAAATGTGAATTTCCCGTAATTGGTTCGTCTTTAATTGTGTTATTGCCAGCAATAATTGAACTAACTGAACTAACAATGGCCGACGACGACGATGACGACGACGACAACAACGACGTTGAAGACGAAGGCGACGATAATGGATGCGATAATTTTTGTTTTTTGTGCGGTGGCTGGCAACCACAAAAGGTTCCAGTTGACGCTTCTAAATTCGTATCGCAATCAATTTTGAGAAATTTATTTAACCAACTCACATCGACGAAGAAACTTCTTCTGTTCTTCACGTTTGTCTTTTTAAAAAAAATGGTGGTTTCTTCAGTTCTCACACACAATTACAAAAAAAAACTTCTGAAATTGATTTTGTTGTGCTCTCAAATCGTGTTCACTTCGCCACTACGAAAATATTTCCTCACTGAGAAATTCAATCTCTTTTTGCGTTTTGAATGTCGAATTTCGTTCGCCTTCGTTTGATTGATTTTTTTCTTTCTTTCTTTCTTTCTTTCTTTCTTTGTACAACCGTACATCTATATATCTGTATGCATGTAAATGTCTATGTATAGACACTGCACACCAGAAAAATCAAGAGAAAACTTTAACTAAGCACACAGAGAAAGAGAGTGAGCAGTCACAGTCACCACATTCACCATACGATGCGAATGTGAATAAAATAATATTCCTCAACAAAATTCGTTTAGTACGTTGTACACGAAAAAAAAACACAGCCTCATAGACATCTCTCTCACTCGTATCGACTCTATCATTCTCTGTTATGCCCATTGGCAATTGCGAAATTCAAGTCAACAAAACACTAATACACACTCGCATCAACATATAAAATGAGGAATATATACATTGACAAATGCAAGTGAAACAACGTATAAAGGCACTTTGGCCCATGAATATGAGGGACATTCAAACAGAATGCGTTTGCGTTGCGTTTGTAGCACACCAATAAAATAGCCAGCTGATTTTTATTTTGTAAATGTGAGAAGAGGAGAGAACTACATTAAGATCATAACAAAAATAAACGCATCAACACATACACACACACACATGCGGAGTAACATAGGATAATGTGGTGAATATGACATGAATTTACGTAAATTTTGCCCAACTTTACGATTTTAAGTTTTTGAATTTATGATTTCAACGGAAACATTATATTAGATTGAAAATTTGTATTGACCCCGTTTTCGTTTTGCTTTAACTCTCTTTTTTTCTGCATATTGATAATGACATTTAAATAATGAATTCTAACCTAACATTTCGTATACCTAATGCTGCATCATTGTATCATTTTAAACATGCGATTTTATGGCAAATTTGTTTACCGTTATTAGTTTGAGCACTTTCATACCAGTACACATAACTGTTCGTGATGACGAAGAGAAATCGTAATGACTCTATTAAGAATAACGGAAGAAAGAGAACCAAAAAGTGAACAAAATCAAATGACTATTGGATATGATTTTTCATATTTCATAGTCGAATGATGCATTTTTTTTATCTCCAAAACATTATAGTAAAGAAAAGATAGATATTTTAATTCTATTTTTCGCTTTTTTATTAATATCTTTTAGTCAATTTCAACGTGAATACGTTTCGTTTTGCCAACTCACCATAATTTCTTTACGTCATTTAAAAGAAAAATATTTAATTACGGTAAATATTACTGCCATTTTATAAAATGCTATGATTGAAAATGTAAAATACTGGTACTAATAAAATACAAAGGTGTTCACAAGAAATGGTATCATAATGTCAAATATCTATTGATTCTTGGCTTTTAAATTGCTATGGACTTGTGTCACTATCGTTATCTGGAACGGTCACCTCTGGAACAGCCATATCTGGAGAAAGTGTTGGAAGGGTTTCACTATTCATTTGTATGGAATCGGCTTCATCGCTTTCAGAAACAATCCCCGAGTATGCAACAGCCTCAACATTCACTTCGTCATCGATGTTATTCTCCAAAGTTGAAAGTATTTGGCCGACATATGAAATCTCTGCTGTTATATTTTTAAAGGTGTTTTTTAAAATTTTAATTTTTTGAGCTATAATTCGTTTTGTTTTTTCAGATGATCTAGTTAAACCCGAAGCATTTGTTTCGTTGGCCCGTACGTTTGACGGCTTGGTAGTATCGGTTTGATGTTCAGTTGACGCAGCACAAACGATATTGTCTTCAGCGTTATCAACAATATTCTCTACATCTGTTTCATCGTCATCCACTTCATTAGCTGTGTTTGATGACGTGGTTGCCACATTTTCTCGAGGAGACACCGAAAATTGTCGTTTAGTGTCTACTTTTTTTACTTTAACCGTTTGGTGATCTACGTTCGGTCCGTTACTTTGCATAGAAAAAGCTACATCATTTCGGTGCAAATCTACTTCAACCGTATTATTCTCTTGAAAATGTGCTGCATTTTCTAAAGGTAACGGTGCATTTTGTGCTTGCGTTTGACTCATTTGGTTAGATAGGATATTTTCATGCCTACCTTGGAAATTATATGGCGGTGCATGTACGTTCAAAACTGCTGCTGTAAGGTTGGCGTTTAAAATTTGCGGATTTCCCGGAATGTTTTGATTCGGATGTTGTGGTATCTGAGCCAATTGATTTGCTGGATTGAATATGGGATTTTTTGAAACAACGACTGATTTTACCAAGTTATTCGGATATACTGTTGGATTAAGTGCTCTTCCCTGAATCATTTGATTTGCTGGATTAACTGCAGGATAACTTTGATATTGTGGTGTGATTCCCGATATAAATGGTGCATAAACTGGATTATAAACTGGTGGCGGGTATTGATTTATTAGGTAGGGTTGTCTATATTGAATATGTTGACCTTGGCTTGATTCTAAGTAATTCATTTCAACTAATAATTTTTTTGCTTTTCTCACTTACAAAAATGTGAAATAAATTTATCGATGCGAACAAAAATACGATTTTTATGTAAAGTATTTGGGATCTTTTTCTCTCTTTACTTAGCGTGGCGTCAGCTTAACTGTTATTTTCTTGCGTTATGTAAGAAATGCAATTTGCAAATGAGAATGAGAATCTATTGCGCGCTGCTTATATAGCATCAAACCGAACTGTACCATTTAACCGCAACAGTTCTCGTTAAATCTAGTGACACGAAATTACGAATGCGTGGTGAGTTTGAGTGGAACTACGAATACGTACCACCTGCGACAATATGTAAATTGTCAAACACCAAACCATTCCTCATGTTTCGATCCATGTCATTTATAATAAACACACAGTTTATTAGCAAGCTTATAATATCAAATCAAATACGAAACACGATTTCAAAAAAGTCATGTAATGTTGAAAATATGTTTTTGTCGCGTTTTAAAAGGTGAATATTTTGCGAAGAAAAAATATTTCTGCTCTTGTACCAGACGAATATGAAAAAAAATATATATTTAAACAATCTATTTACTATGTTTTTTTTTCGCTTTCAGATACTTCTTGTTTGCAGCTATAATCTTATCGTTTGTTTTAATATTTATCAATGAATTCTTTATTTACTCGCTTTATCGGCTAAGTTGGAGTTCAATCCGATGTAAAAAGGGTATGTATCAAAAACATATTACATACCGCAAATATCTTTCGTGAATGGATGATCTCATCTTATTTTTATCTATGTGACATCAATAAATACGATTTAATTTTATTTCAGTGGATTGCACGAAAATTCTGCTTGTATCGGATCCACAAATTCTCGGCGAAACATTCGATACAAATATTTACAGTGGCATTGCCATCGTTGATTCAGATAAATATTTGAAAGAAACATTCGATCGCGCCTATGCCTTTGCAAAACCGGACGTTATTTGTTTTTTGGGTGATTTAATGGACGAGGGTAGTGTTGCTGCTGATGACGCATACCAACGATATTTGCGTCGTTTTAATAGCATCTTCAAAACGAGTGCAAATGTTAAACACTTTTATATTCCTGGTGACAATGACATCGGTGGCGAACGTCATGACTATGTAACCGTGTTTAAAAGGAAACGTTTTAACAAAAGTTTCAATGAAACGAACTCAATTTCAATTGGAAAACGATTACGAATACTCAATATAAATTTGCTCACACACATATACCCTGATCTCAATGTAACCGATACATCATCAAGTAAATTACTGAACATCGTGGCAACACACATATCAGTTCTATCATATCCCGGAATTACGATGAAAACGGTAAATGATCTCAAGACTACCTATTGATCACCAATCGAAATAGCTACAATTATATTGTTTTCACCTTTCAGATCATGGATCAATTCAAACCAAATATCATATTTTCGGGTCATTCGCACTTATCTGCAGTTGTCACATATCCGCCACAAAATATTCAAAATCTAGTCGACAATCGCATAGTCAACGTTGAAATGAACAATTTAAATGTCGTTGAAATTGTTGTTCCTACATCAAGTTATAGAATGGGCGTAACGAATATAGGCTATGGATATGCCGTAATTGGTAATATATATTAAGTCGGTGCCAATTATTATGAGAAATTGGTGTCAGTGCATACATTTTTTTGTGTCTATGCATGGACCAATGATATTTACATCGTTGGTCTTCGGAACAAAAACACAATCGGGTAAATTCTCTATCGATAATGCCTCACTTCTCCATCATATCCTTCAATTTATATTTCCCTCGCTCTCTCTATATCTATATGGTTGGTCTCTTCTTTTTCATGCGCTACAATAAAAATCAGTTAAACTCCTATCTTCTAAAGGATAGAATGAAATACCTAAAGAAAGAGAGAAAAAAGCAAATAGATTGTTCTCTTTATCACGCTGTTTTTATTTGATTCAATTGGAAATATGTTTTGTTTTGTTCGATTTGTTCTATAAATGTCTACACGTATAGATAAAAAAGAATGATAAAGAAATGAACCCCAAAAGAAGCGTTTAATATGGATTAAATATATCGAAGTTATAGTACATGAAATGTATAAAAATGAAAATCACTCAAAAGAAAGATAATGATAAAAGGCGTAGAAAAAGCAGCATTGGCAAAAGTAGTTGACATTGTTTGTTAAAGTATTTAACTGCTATAGTCCACGAACTGTTGAAAGTCATTCATCGTCGAAGAATAGAACCTCTAAGATTTTTCGTTGTACAACTTTCTTTCGATCCTTTGGCATTTTTGTGAGTTCTGATGTGACCAGTTCGCCAAGCAATTGATCCGAGCTCCGCAGTTGTCTGGCAATAGCATGTTGGTACAACAAATCGACTGGATTTGGAAATGTGGAAGAAGTCGGATTGGTATGTTGATCGGTAGTTGATTTACGTGTTCGTGACGTATGTTGTTCATACAATGGATACAAGAAATCGGTCGGCACATTGTTCATGGAAGAAGACTGGTGGTCGGAAGCATCATCGTCGTCATCGTCATCGTCATCATTTATATTATGGTGTTCATCGTTGTCCGATAAATTGTTATTGAGTATTTGTTTTTGGTGTGGATCGTGTGTTCGTTCTATACTGTAACTGTTGCTATTATTGAGATTATGTGAATTATTTCGTTCGCTTATGTTGGTGCTGGTGGTGCGACGTCGTTTTCTATGCATTGCGGATGAGGTCGGTGATTCTTGTGATGCAATCGATGATGATGACGATGATGGCATATTATTATTACTAGACTGTAAATCGATTGGTTTTCTATGCATGTCCGAAACTGAATTTTCTTCATTTTTCACTACTAAATTCGCATGTGGAAATTGATGATTTAAATAATACTGCGGAAATGCATCATCCAAATCGTTATTTAAATGACCGCCGCCCAGCAATCTCATTGAACCATTCGATTTCGATGATTCATTGCCATCGAACGATTGCAATGCCGATGGTGACTGAAATAATTGTGATACTTGACGATACGACTTTCGTGACTGAATGAATGTGTCCAAAAATTTCATTTTCTCTAGATATGGCCGCGATAAATGCTCATAACTTGCTGGTGAACCACCGACCTTTTTCTGTTGTACATATCGTTCTCGCAGATATTTCCATCGCTTTTTACATGTATCCACTGAAATTGAAGAATATTTTTCTGGGTTTAACATATGTTTTCTTTGTGTCATATGAATTAATTTTAAACACTTTACCGTCTGTGCCAAGGTTTCGTGCAATATCTTGCCAGGCTATTTCTTTTGTGATGCATTTGTCACCGTTAATCGTGCTGCTTTTCTGTCGATTGTATATAATGGCATGCTGTTGCACTTCGGCTATTAACTTTTCGTCCATCATCTCAATGCTGTTTCTCTTATTCTGTTTGTTCTTTATATTATTTTTCATAAATGCGAATGTGGGCACACTTTTTACTATATCATATTTATGGAAGATTTTTGCATACACATTTACAAATTTGGAAGCCCCTTTTGTGCTTTTTATGCGTTTCTTTTTTTCTCTTACTTTTCTCTACAATATGCCACACAATTTCACATATTTTAATAGCACACCGCTATGTGTGTACAGTTTCTCGTTCACTTGTCATTCATTTCATTCACGATTTGATACATTTAATTGTAAAACTCTAAAATCGATTCTCGACAAAGTTTCCATTCTGTTTATAAACAGCAACCGCATTTATCTATTTACATATACAAATTGGCACTGAGTTCATCGGTTGTTTTGCGTACGCTAATGGTTTGTATCGCGTTCTACGCCATATTTTTCGATATGTCAAAAGTCTATGTGTCTATCTATTGAATGCGTTACGTACGGCTGAATGTTTGCTGTCTTAATTTATATGGGTATTTGAGTGTTTTGAGTGTTGCCACTTCGAGTTCGTCTGTGTGGTGGATTTTTGAATGTAAGCGCACTTTTTTTCGGAATCTGGTTATTGTTGAAAATGGTATTTGATTATTTTTATTTTATTTTTTTTTTTTACTTCTTGCGTAATGTTTAGTGAGAAAAGGTGAAAAATACGTTAATCAATACTAACTTAGTACAATAACTTTCAAATTTCCTTTTTTTAGATGACGATGTGATGCAATACACCGTGCTTTGGTCACCAGATCGTTTCAAATGTCTGTGGTTATATGTTATTTGGCTTGGTGTTCTCTTTTTGATGCCACTAATGTGGTTGATCTATCGAAACTGTTCGATTTTCCATCGTCGTGTAACTTATCGACTTCGCTTGATGATCGCAACCGATAAATTTTAAATCGTTTTATTGCCTCGCTTTCGAATCTCGCGCATATGTTTCTGGCAATTTTTTGAATCTCCAATAATATATATATATATAATTTAAACGAATTGAATGAAACAACAAATTGTTTGTTAGAAAAATGATTGTACAAAAAAAAAATCTTATTATACAATTCTCTTTTATTCCGTCTTATTGAAATACTTAAAAAATAGTAACTTATAAAAAAGATAGAAGTCTAATTTGGTTTTTTCATTTTTTTCTCAATTATGAAATTATCAAAAAATATATATATTTATATAAACGAAAAAATGTTTCTTTTTAAATGCCTATAGCGAAAAAAGTGGTAAATGCTTTTGTTTCAAGTCTCTTTTCAGTGCTTTGATTTGGTAACTTATAAAAAAATAATAATAATGAATTAAACAACATGTTCGTCGAGCATTTGTAATGCCCGATTGCCTTTCTTTTGTTTAACACCACACATGGGAACATATCGACGGAGACTTCCGTTGCTGCCGCTATCGTACATTGATAACAGTGGTTCAATGGGATTGTATGTTATCGATGGCGTGGCCGGATTTGAAATAGTATAGTCATCGTTGGCCGCATTAAATTCACTAAGTGTGATGCCATTAGGTATTCTAAGGCGATTTGGATGTGGATGTGGATTTATATATGTACTTTGATCTTCTTGCTCGTCAGTTTGTTCATTTTGAATTTTTCGTAGGCCAGGCAACAATTCCAATTGATCGCTGTCCGTTTCCGGTATTTGGACCGATTTCAAAGGTACGTCGAGTGAAGCGGTCACCAATTTTGGATAATTTCCAATGAAATCAACCACTTCAGATGCGGTTGGCCGTTTTATATACGATAGAGACCAACAGGCCTTCATTAAGCCCTCTAGTGCGGGTTTTATTCCATTTGGTATTGTGAGCGTGTTACCTTCCTTTACATAATCTAGAACTTGAGTGTTGGTCATCCCTTGAAATGGGAACGAACCAAAGGTGATGATTTCATACAAAAGAACGCCAAATGAATAAATGTCTGAGGCTGGTGTGAACTTTCCCAAACTCAGTGATTCTGGGGCCATCCAGCGAACAGGAAGCATACCTTTTCGACTGAAGCGATAGTAGTCATTTTCCGATGTTGATCGCGCCATACCAAAATCACCCAATTTCACAACACGTTGTGTATTTACCAAACAATTTCTGCAAGCTACGTCACGATGCACATACTTCACTTCGGATAAATAGCTCAGTGCTTTTGCCACATCTAATGCCATCATTGTTAAACGCTTCGGTGAAATATCCGAATCGTCGCATATTTTTTCATTGACCAAATGTCGCCGTGCCAGTAAATATGTTTTCAAATCGCCATATAGCATGAACTCCATTATAGCATAAATTGGTTCGGACTGTAGACACACGCCCAATAAACGTACAATATTACTGTGATCAAATCTTTTCATAGCCTCGGCTTCGGATAAAAAATCCAATCGATCTTCTGTGTTTGAGCCTTTTTTCAATGTTTTCACAGCGACAGCGGTCCAATGATCGTCGATTTGAGCTTCACCCCCGTAGCTAAAAAAATAATAAAAATAATAATTCTAATTGATAAATAAAAAAAACTAATATATTCCTAAAGCAATAATTTTCTTTAAATCTATTTCATAATTAGCCGGGAAACCACGAATTCAAATAAAAAACAAAATATAAAACAAGAATAATTACACCGTCCCGAAAGCTCCTTCCCCCAGCCGCCTGTTGATTACAACTCGATCTTTGCTTATTTCCCATTTGTCCAGAGTGTTCGAGTGTACCGGAGCCAATGTATTAAAATCGATGCCGAAAATTCGCAAAAATTTTGCAGATGCCTTAAATTTCTGATCATATCGTCGCTTCCAAAATATAAATGACGTGGCCGACAACAATATAACAAGTAACGCTGCCAATAATGCAGTTATAATCAACATCGTTTGTGAACAATCGTAGCCGAGTAGATTTGCAAGACCGGCAACACTACAGACGTTTGTTCCATCGGTTGGAGCAGCACCATTTTCAGTTAACCAAATTATATTCGATGCACTGAAATTGAAATGCCCACCTTGAATCACACGACTTTCAGCGATATACGGTTCAAAAACGGCAACTAAACGGTGTTCATTATTCACCCATTGCTGAACATTGATGGTCGAAAAACGTGATCCACCTTCACCGAATTGAATGCGACCAGATACACCGGTGAAATCACTCTCCGATAATATTTGAACAAATCGTTCAGTCGTATTGGGTGTGTTAAGTGTTGCTAAATAATTTGGTGACTCTTTAATTAATTTATCCAATGCCAATGCGTACACCCAAACTGCATCATATGCATAGCCACCATAATGAGATGTATTCGATAAACCGTACATTTCCTTCCATTTGCCAACTGTTTGATTTGTTTCCATAATGGTTTCATCAGCCGCATAAGATGATCCAACGAGAGAAAAATGACCTTCCAGCATTTGATCAATTTGATCACGTGTGCAATTTACATTCTCAGATTCGTAGATTTCTTTTGAATTTTTATCCACCCAAATTGGCAAGAACCACACATAACCATGCTTTGCAGACATCTGACGATGAAAAAGATAAAATTATACATATATTTAATTATTATTATTATAATATTGTATTTGTAATGAATATTAGTTTTTGTTTTTATTTTAAAATTGAAATGAAGCATCGAATGCTGACGGTAATTTGACAAAAAAAAATTTACCTTCAATTTAAAAGCTTCGCAAAGCACTACGCCTGCTTGTTCGTCATAAACATCAGCAATAATAATGTTCGAGTTCTTATTTTTCAGGTCCAAAAGTGACTGGAATGAGAGTGAAAACAAAACGTCAATTAATTATGTTCAATTTCATGATGTTATTTCTATAAATGTTAATCGATATTTTTCTTGTATTTTGTCTCTGTTTTTTTATCGTCCATTTTTTATATTTTTATTTTATTTTTTTCATTTGAAACTAGTGATACAAATCAGAAAAAATTCCGTTAACAGAAAAATTAACTAAATCGTTTTTAACAATTAACAATAAATTGAAAAGAAACAAAACTTACACTCTGCATTTTCTCTGGGCTAAAATATTTAGAGAATTTTTTATTTGTTAATTCAATGCCATTTTCTTTCAGTGAATTCTCCAATAGTGATATGTATTCGGTGTATTTCTGTCCGTCCTCGGTGAAAGCAACAACCCGATGCCAATTTAACTCTTTGAACACAGAACATAATTAGCGGACTTACAGTCGTTTTTTTTTCAGCGTAAAATTAACTCACCTTTGAATAATTTTACATAAACATGTTCATATTGTCGATTTTCGCCGATTGTTCGAAAAAAGTATGGATATTTTTCGCGGTCTTTAAAAGAAAATCCTTCGGCGGAATAGCTTATAACAGTCATGTGAATGTGCTTCGATAAACCTGTTCGTGTACAGAAAAATAAATAAAACGTGTACGGAAAAAAAATCGAGAACGGAATTTAGTTGTGACCGCAAAAGGTTTAAATGTAAAAATATGAAAACAACGTGTAAACTATATTCAGCGCCGGAAAAATGTGCAAGGAATACAATTTAAAAAACCCATTGAATGAAAACAAAGTTATGGCTGTTTGAGTTCAGTGCACCAGAATCTGTACAAAGTGTAAAATAACACAATTTTTTTTTAATTTTTTTTGCTTTTCATCATACTTTTTGCATCAAAAAATGGTCACGAGCGAAACGAAACCAACGTAAAATTGAAAACAACAACTCGACAAAAAAAAATGTTCGAATGAAAACAGAAATCGATGTTGAAACGATTGTTTTGCATTTTGTCATTCATTTCGTCAATTTCGGTTGTATTTGTTTAGGTGGTGCGTTGAACGTGAATGTGCATCGAATTCGTGATGAAATGGATAAGACAATCAATGCATTAACTTCAAGTGCAAAGGTATGTACAAGATTAGCACAACAATAACAAGTATTTGTATCGACAATGAAGATATATTGCGTCTTTCATAGTTCAATAATCGTCATTCGGTGGCTAATTAATGATCAGCCAAGAAAAACTGTACTTTTTCGGCTGTATAATTTGTTTACCAGCCGTCTGTTGTCGACTTTGTTCATTTGTTTGCCATTAAATCGAATTGTATCTGCATAAATAATAATTAATTTCATTTCATTGCAATAGCAACGACGCACTTCACTCTCACTCTGTGTGCTTCGCTCTTGCCCTCTTCTTTTATCTATTTTTGTAAATAAAGAGTGTACATTTCGATGTGCGCCATGGCAGCCTCGAACTTGAAATGTGATTCCAAAAAAAGACGTAACAAAAGACTACGTACGACAAAAAAAATGGATACGTAGAGGCTGAGATGTGCCCTATACCAAGGTTATTTGTGACTGCATAAAACTTTTAATTTTGTCATTGTTGGTACACAAGGTTCTATCGGATATTTTTCAAACTTTTATAAACAGAGGACCATATCATATACTTACTCGCTATGGGCTGTAAGCTCTCACTACATGGGGGTCCCAGGACCCCAAGCACATCTTCTCGATCAACATAGTAATTAATGAATGTTCGCATTACTGTGTCCAAATGACATCCGTCATCATGAGAAATCACCATCAACTCAATATCCGGCAAAAGTGTTTCATTTTGTTCGATATCTTTTTGAGCTAATTCAACCGCAATTATTGTTCCTGAAATTTTCAGTTTATTTCCATCAATACATATTTATAGTTTTAATTCGTATGCAAAGTGCAGTTAAGTGCAAAACTCACCGTTATGTTCAAGTTCGGCTTCTTCTTTCTTTGGAAAAATACCTCCAATGTAAATCTTTCTTCTCTGTCGTGCCTTCTGTTCTGGTAATTCAACCATATCTCTGAACCATTGTTCATTTTCTTTAATAAATCTGCACGCGATTTCATCGTATAGTTGCGTTTTGTTGTTCGCATTATTTAAAATTGTATCATCTTGTACAGTTTTATCCAAACGTGTCTTATCAGTGTAACTAACTTCTGAGTGTCGATCGGTTAAATTATTGTACAATTGTAATAGATAGGTTTCATTATTTCTCTCAAAATAAATATTACTTAATACTGTATACACCGGAGTTGAATGTTTTAATGTTGAACTACATTTTGCATACTTGAGAATCGGCGTCAATTCGTATTTGCACATTGTATCTTTGCTATTTTTACTATTAAATTGTTCACACTTTGGCATTATTATTGTTTCATAATCGATATCGCCATCGATTATTTCAGACGGTGTCCAATAGACAATAATGAATGACTTACGATTTTCTTTGTATCGATTAGCATCAGCCAATTGATTGAATAAGGCTTTAGTCACGTAACGTAAAATATCGCCGAACCAAATAATCTTCACATATAATTGAAGCTCATCAATGTGTGCGGTTACAAAAAATGTATCCTCTCTATGTCCAGACAACAAAGTCACGCATTTCTCATTTTGACAGTGGTCCGGGATGTATTGAGCATCGTGTTTACTACATTTGATTGAAGAATGAGTTGTAGAATTAGTTACATTGAAAATGCAGAGAAAAAACAGGCGTTTTATGACTGATCATTTATTAATGATCATTAATATAAAGTTAAAAAAAAGGATTGTGGCGTGTACAGAATTATAGACACTGTACTGTTGTCATTTCAAATGCGTATTATAATAATACAAATATCACATTAAATCTTTTCATCAAATGAAATTAAATTAACGAATAGTCAAAATACCATGCGTCTTTTCGACCACAAAATATGTGTTTGAGCGCGGTAAACAAGGGTAATAAAAACCAGCGATAAAACGTAAAATAAGATAATAAAAACAGGATTAATGTAAACGGTGTATAACTTACAATTGCTTTAAAATGCTCTCATCGTAAATAAAACGGTTGAATTCGTTTTTTTTATTATTTTTGAATATTGTATAGGGAATGGTTAACGAAGCGCCATCATTTTCGAAAAGTTTCCTAGGCACAAACCATCCAAATCTTCCTGTACTGAAACGTCCAACCATTTCCTCTTTGTTAACGTCAGGCGGTGCGATTTGATAATCTGGTGGCATCCATACTCCTAAATTTAACAGCGGCTTCGATGAACTACGTGTTACATTTCACACAGAACAAAATTAGCGGACTTACAGCAACTGTCGTTTTTCTTTTCAGCGAAAAATTAACTCACCTTTGAATTTTATCAAGTATTTCAGAAAGTTTTTCTCTTTCGTTAATGAGATCTTGTGGGAATTGAATGTCCTCGTACACAATTTTTCGGTTTAGAATTTCCTTTGCCAATATACCGAATACATGTGAACTGATTTGATGCAACACGTTATTCGATACTTGAATAACAATTTCTTCATCGTATGTCGCTAAATTGACTCGAGTATCTTCTGAAAAATTTTTATTCACAAAACGAATAGAAAAAAACGATCGTCTCAAAATATGATTTATATACATTCATCACTTTGTACACATAATCTGTCTGCATATTTGCAATTGGACACTCGTTTGTTAAAACCTAGGGGCTTAATACGGCAAAAAAATTCACAGGAATTCACATAAATTCGTGTGAATAGAATGAAATGTGTCAAATTAATAAAGTGAGGTTATGATAACCGCAATATTTTTTAATTTATTATTTTTCCAATATTTCCGATTGTTTTCGATAGAAAATCGCTCAAAATTGAAAATAAAATTAATTTTTATTAAAAAAATATAAAAATCATTTACAATTTTGTTACACAAAATATAAATATTGCAGTAATTTCCAGCAGAAACTATTCACCACTATCTCACATATTTGAATGAAATCGCCGTAGAATTCACCGGAATTCATTCGTTTGCAGAAAAATTCAGTTAATTTAGATATTATTATAGAATTCAGTCGTTGAAAATTTTGAATTAAGCCCCTAGGTTAAAACCTGTATTTCGTTTTATGTATTTTCTAACGCGCATTTTGGATTTGTATGTGTCATATCTATGCATATATGTAAAAAATCCGAATGTCAAATGATCATAGCAAAATATACATACGACTTTCGGTTGATGATAAACAAGGTTCGGCTCGCAACGCTGTCAACCCCATTAGCGACACAATCAATAATCTCATCCATAGCCAAAGCATTTCCATTAATCTCGAATCCGGCAGCACTACTGTAACACAAAACATGATCAAATGAATGAATTTTCTACAGGAATTCAGCATCGTTTTGAATTAAATGTTTTTAAACGATCACATATAAGATTAATTTGTGACAATAATTTGTATAAATTACATAAAACTGGCATTTTCAATTTGATAACTGTCTTCAGATAAAGTTATCTTCAAATTAAAAATTACACCTGATATGAGATGTGAGTTGTAATAAATTTACGTGAATTTATTCATGTCGTGTCATTAGATAAAACAGGGATCACATTCAACATGATTTTTCGGCAACAGGTCATCCACATTTTAATACGTCTTGATGAATGGCACACTTCAAATTAATATTGGTAAAAGTTCCGTGAGATTGTTGTTTTTTCCATTGATTGAACATATTCTTGTTCTGATTTCATATGCAATCTAACTGCGGTAACATGATTGCGAGACAAAGATGTATGACAACACATTTTCGAACCATGTGAATTCTGCATGCAAATTAGACTCAAACTCAAAGCAGACATGAAAAGTTATCGTCATAATTTTTATTTTAGAATCAAAACATTCAACATACTATGTGAGTCATGTGCATTTAATAAAACATGAAAACAACAAATCATCTCAGTTTGAATTTCATTTCCATTCTGAACACGTATCACCAACTCATTATTGTTCCAAAAATACATTTCACAGCATCAAATGCGTTTTTTTCCAGATCATGCACACTCATTTGATATATCGACAAACTACATAAATGGCGTGTATATGTTGAAAATCGTAAAAACTAATGCGCATCTCAATTCATATCGATTATTTTACTAACGACTCGTGGATGTTTATATGGAATCACACATTGCTTGCGTCCAAAACACAGTTTGTTCAATCAAATCGTATGTTTATAGCTGTGTTTAGGTTATACTCTCATGAATACGTTAACTGGCCACTCGCCATTTTGACGCAGCTGACATACGGTTTATCATAATTTTGTGAATTAAATTTACACATTTGACGATCACACGCTAGTTATGTATAGTCGTTTTCAATAAGATCTGTTACAGCGAACCGTCAAAATTTTGAACAAACAACATACCCTAAACAAAATTCAAACCAAATTGACACGTTTAACTAAGGAGCCTTGTGTACTTTTGAATGGAAATGCGTTCCGAAATTCATTGTATTAGTTTGACAACACAGATCTTTTTGGAAACGACTATACATTACATTTATACACGGTCGTACACGGTGGATTATTTTTGGAATGGCAAATATAAGCCGAAGAGAGAGAGATAGAGGTACAGAGGAAAAAAAAGAGAGAATCATGATAGGTTTCTGGATGCTTGATCAAAGCAAATGGTACCAGCATATTGTTATCATTTTGACAATAATAATTTTATAAATTTTGTTTTGCTCTTTAATTACTCATTTTCAGAGCAATTCACAAAAAAATATTTGTCATTTTCTGACGAATGCGGATGACTTGTACAATAATAATACTATCTATCATCTACATACATACACAAATTCACAAATTAAACACATTTTCAGATAAGATTGGATGGATAGCAAAAAGAACTTACGTACATTAATGCATTACGAAGATGGAGCAAAAAATATATATGCGACTAGTTTTGTTTTATGGATGACACCAGAAAAAAAAGATGAATATTAAAATCAGTGAATCAATTTACAATCTAAAACAAAACTGGTATCAATTTTTACGACCATCGTTTCTTCCGAATAAAATCTCTAGCTTATCGAAACTAGCAAAATTCCTATTGGATAAACTGAAATAAAACAAAATCGACAGAACTGAAAGTTGTTGTTGAACATTCATAGACAACGTCGCTTGAACTAAATCAATGATTGGACTTTCGACTAATTTCTTTATTTTTGAAAGCTAAAATTTTGCGTTATCTATTATTAAAAATCAATACAACCTTACTTTATAGTTCAGTAATTTTTGGTGTAGGGCGGCGCCACCGTATGTACATAGAAATTTACATTTAAACGAACGCCATCTAACGTGTTTGATAATTTTTTTCCCTAAAAAAGTGGCACTATAATCCGTGTTTGTTAAAAATACGTTTATTTTATAAATATTATTTACGTTTATTTATGCGCAAATTCATTTAATATTATTATTCAACCTAGAACATGAAAGAGACATATTGAAAAAATCGTGGAAGAGCATACAGGGTGTCTCATATACCAGGCTCATTATCAGGGCGTGCGAATTTCAAAAAACATTTTGGGGGGTATGTGGGGGTAAAAAATAGAAAATTTCCATCTGACCAAAAACTAATGTACTACAAAGTTGTTCAGAATGACGAGAGAAATTTTTTTGGACCCTTGCATGAAAGAGATATATCATTTTTTTTTTTGAAAAAATCATGAAAGAGCATACAGGGTGGCGCATATTATAATAGGGCCACTCTTAGGGGGTGGGCATTTTGAAAAACCCTTTGGGGGGTATGTTGGGGGTAAAAAATTGAAAATTTCTATCGGAGCAGAATTTTGAATTTTTCCCAGGGGGGTGAGGTTGCCTGGGGGCAAAACTTCACAGGATCAAAAAATGATGTACTACAAAGTTGTTCAGAATAACGAGAGAAATTTTTTGTGGCCCCTGCCCTCCAAGTTCCCCACCCTTAAGGGTTCGGGGGGTCAAAAACTCCCAAGATATGATTTGTTTTACCTGAAACTCAAAAATTTGGAATCAGCATGCACAAATTATTAGAATTGATATTTTTGTCATTCACCTTTTGGGCCAAGTTTCAATGCCCTCCATGTGGGGTCAAATCTTACAAAGTCGATTTTACATTTTTTGGTCCGGAATTGTATGATTGCGATAATAACAAATGAATGAATAACAAACAGAAATAGCGAATAAAGAATAATTTTTTCGAATGTTTTTGCGGTCGTGCATCAATTGAATCAAGGGGGTAGACATGATTCAAATGATTCGTTGTAATTCATTTGTGATTTGAATTATTTGAATCTATTTGACAAGTGACTTTACAATACTAAAACAAAGCATAAAATTCTATATCAATATTTGTTTTTTTTTAAGCATTTTTTTAATTAAAAAAATCAAGTATATTTCGTTTATATTTAAAACAGATTTCGAAAATATTAAATCTCTTTGTATTTTTATTCTTTAACTTGATTTTTTTTTATATAACTTGCATGCAAACATCGATAGTCAACTTCACTGTAAAGTGTCACACGAACTGTCAAGCGGTGATTTGAAATGATTCGAAAAAATTCAAAATGATTTGAAATATTTATAATTTACTTGCAATAATTTAAAGAGATTTATTTTTTTCGTATAGATTTGTTCTTTTGGATTGCGTGTCTACCCCCTAGAATTGAATTTGATATACATCCATTTTTTTGTTGCCCATTTGCCGGAATTTTAATTATTATTAGTATTTTATCTAAACATATGGTTAACTTGTTGTACCAAATTATAACACTAGATAAAGTTCTAGACAAAGTTCAAGAGTTCGTCTTGAAGACGCTGAACTGTCACTGATCTCAAACATGAAACAAACACATATAAATGAATATTTTGCTTCAACAATACTGATACGTCCGAGATTTGATGAAGAAAAAGCGAAGAAAACCATCGATGTGAAAATTAAAAAAGTCAACGTCAAGTTGTGCACACTGTGTGTAAATTTCTGTTGTGAAGAAGACACATTTATTTTTGGAGTGTTTTCTTTCTGCGATGATTAGAAAAGTCAACTAACGATCATATCTTCAGGCAAATTTTATATTATACATGCCACCCACTTAAATGGCCCGTTATCTGTGGTAATTTTTATGAGATTATTATTCTTTGTGATTTTGCGTTGTGTGCGTTTTTTTTTTTTTTTTTTTGAACATAAAATGTACACTTTTTCGTTTATATTTAGCTGTGTGTTTGTATTCAAAGCAGGACGAAAACATGCGCTGTATTTTTCTACAGATTTAGATAAAGTGTTTGGATTGACTTTGAAAAATAAAAAGAAAAAATAAGTCGTTTTCATTGTTGTTTATTACCAGAGTATCATGATTTGCTGCTGCTCAGCATATAGCTAAGAGCTGAGAAATGCTGAACTCGTGCGGCTAACGCATACGAAACGGATGCACGATACATATTCCCCTTTCGCTTCGTATGTGCTGCCGTTGACGCTATTGCCGGTAACACACTATACCAGCGAACATACGAAGTGAAAGGGGAATATGTATCGTGTATCCGTTTCGTATGCGTTAGACGTACACTTTCAGAATATATGAAAGACTGACAGCAAAAACAGCACGTCGCACCTCATCTCTTGCTTTCACTTTCGTAAGCAAAATAACGAGGGATGCGATGTGATGTTTTTCTCGCAGCTTCTCATATGTCGGTCGCAACACAATTTCAAACTCAACTGGTTACTAAGTTTTGAGTTTTGAATTGAACATCCAATCAACTGTTTATAACCGTTTAAACGGGGAGAATGCATGTGTGCGTGCATCCGTTTCGTATGCGTTAGCCGCACGAGTTCAGCATTTCTCAGCTCTCAGCTATATGCTGAGCAGCAGCAAATCATGATACTCTGTTTATTACCGAAGTTATCTGACGAAGTTTTCCTTTCACTTAGCGCACGTCTACAGAAACAGATGTCAAATATCATCCGTGGAATGTATTACCATACCGAATAACACTGTTGTCTTTTTACTTTCCATTTATTGCACTAGAACGAGTTTGTTATTCACTGACTGAGTGAGTTCGTCAAAGAAGTCAACAAAATAACGTGACCAAATGGAGGAATTTGCCGAAAGCAGCGCATTATCAAAATTGTTTTGCCAAATTTGCATTCGAAACACACGAAAAAAACTACATATCCCATTGAATTTATTTTTGTCACAGAAGACATTCTTTCAACGGTATTATTATGTTGAACTGTTATGATCGGGAGGCCAAAACACACACAAAAAATTAACGTTATGACGAGACCGAGTAGTTTAATTGCACCATATATACTATTCCATTCAATTATTGACACTTTTTTGTGCAGAACAATGCAATTTGCTTAATAAACTTAAACTTGTCATTTGACGCGGTTTATATATTCAATTCCATGTGGAAACACGTGAATTCGAAATACAATCTAATTCATATCAATTATATATGAATGCGACTGAAAAAAAATGCTATAATTCTAATACAACGAAAAAATGTGTTCACATTTCTGTCTTTTTTTGATGAGTCGTTTTTACTGCTACTTTTTTTTCGCCACCGTTCATATATTACAGTTTAAATGTCATTTGAATGATAATGCATTGACATTCCACCCTTTTCCAATTCGAACAGTAAACATAATATGGACAATGTGTGTGCGATTCGTTTGACGGATTACATGTGCACGTAAATGTTCTTCTTTCATTATTTATTAATAATATATAAAGCCGTATCCTTGAATTTGTTATGGTAATTCGTATATCAATTGATGAATTTGCCGATTCACACACTTACGTACATTTCTATTTGCAATTCAAATTGTGATATTCTTATTGCTCCATTAATACAATAAAAATCGGTTGTCGTCAGATCTTTGTGATGCACACTGCACAATGTTTGTGGTCGTTGATTTTTCTTTGTTTCTCTTTCGGTTTTGTTGCGAATCAATATTATATTGCAGTTCAATTTGCAACTTTACTTTATCACTTTAGATGTTTAGCTTACAATGCGTAGCATTGGTTTTTATCGTGTTACACAACTTGAGAACATAGCGACATCACGTTTATTGTAAAACTGATAATAAAGCTATGAATAAACAAATACACTGGAATACAATTCCTTTTTTTCTTATATAATATTTTATCTTTTGCAATGCAAACCTTGTCTCGTGTTCCCATTTACATCTAAATTTTGTGTTTTTTGCTTAATTCAAAATGAATGTTAATATGTTTCGTTTTTAATTTTGTTTTTAAAACAAAACTCTACACCAAACACATATTTGACCTATAATTTATAACATTTGAACGCCCGCACTAAATACTGCTGTTTTGTTATTTAATTGTTGAAAAAAGATCGATGATTTTTGACCAACGTATAAAATAGAATTCGGGGGTATTGAATACACAAGCGATACGCTTAAGTGCTGTTAAAAAACTAAATTGCTTTCGCTTACCGCACATATGGATACATCACACATACGAAGTATTTCTGTTTTTTTCGCTGATTCGTCGCGAATGCGAAGTGTGTTCGGACACGAGAATATAACGGCGCGAGTGGTATCTTCAACAAATCGCGGGAAAGAGCAACGACAAGAGTGAGAAAATGAACGCACGCGTCGAATACGTCCGGAATATTGAAGAGAAAGAGCGAATAATAAGAAGAAAAAAATCTACCAGCTGAAATGTCACTGTGCTGTAAATAAAAAAGAAAGATTTATTTATTTTTTCAGATCGATAAATCTACTCAGCAATTCACGCATATTAAAACTAACTAAATGATGCGCAAATCTATAGCTATTTTTGATGCGTAGAAAAATTAACGCGCAAGAGAGATTTTTTTAACACATACCGTTAATTCTTACAAATATATATATTTGTTATCATACTGCAGTTCATTACCATTTCCATGCAAATTATTTCAAACGTAAACGTACTTACTTAATATTTTAAGCCAACAAGAATTGCTTACATAGCGAGACGGGGGAAATGATTTCGGACACCATTTTTTTGTTATTGTGAGTTTGTTTTCGTTGTTTTAAAGAATGTAATAATAAGTTTTTATTTTCAGCGTAAAACTGTAAATTACAATTTAATTGCGTTGGTTTTTTTTTAAATTGTTGATGAATTCTGTTTTTTTTTTTCTATGAAATACTCAGAAGGCATGCAACGAATTTTAAATGATAAAAAATGGTTTGGTGTATTAAGAGAATTGTAAAAAAGAGAATTAGTTGGGATAGAGAATGTCGTAATGTCCTGGCCGGTATAAGAGATAAACTTTTGGTTTGAGACCATCGGGAAAGTCATGGGCTGTCACCTGACCACCTTCTGCTTCACCTCGATCCATATATTCAACGCGTACACCCACATTTAATGCGGTACAAAGAGCTGTAATTAAACAGATGAAAGACGAAAATTATTTACTTTGAATGCAATAATTTGCGATACCAAAAATAGTTTCAAGCGAAACGAGTTGAGTATTACGAAAAATTTCTTACAACAATGAGTATAAATATCAGACGATTTCATTTTTTTTTAAATGTCGCCTTTGCACTTACCAATAATATGAATGTGATCACTTTCTTTGTACATCGGTTCGACCTCTTGGTGTCGAAACTCTTCCATTGTGCAATTGCCATCGATGAAATTCTGATAGAATTCGGCACCCTCTTGCAATTGGCCCGATGTCATCAAGCGCAAATAAACGACCACATAGTCAGAATGGCCTTGATCGTTAAATAGTCGATGCAATTCTTTAAGCGTTTCCTCTTGATTGTCATTCGGTGCCACTTGCTGAATTACAGTCATGAACTAGAACGATGATCAAAGAAATTGATGTATGAATACGTTTTAAATTTAAAGATTTAAATTCATTTTTATTCTTTTGATTTGTTTTCATTCCAAATTTGTTTTTTTTTCATGTGCAAATTTTAAAGTAAAACCATGATGAGATTTTGTCAAATGAGAAGAAAATCTTTTGTTCGCTACTTACGGTATCATGAAAATCTTCGAGTGTGAATTGTGGAAAGCCCAATTTGATAAGGCGATCCTTTGATTCTTCAGACAGTTTGCGAAATGGTTCATATTCGTTTTGGTTTTTAACCAAATACTCTAAATAGGCATAGGCAAATGCTCGAAAAAAGCAATTACCATCCGGTCGAGTTTTCTTGATCGACTTGTACTTCGATTTCAAATATTTTAATTTTGAACTATAAATCGGGTCATCTGTATACTCATTGTCCAAAACTGACAGATCTTGTAGTTCACTAACAAACGGGGTTGTATCACAAATCTGTGAATAAAAAAAAAACAAATGTTGAGATCATTGTCATAATTCTTTTTCGAAGATGAATTTAGTTCAATGACACATTCAGTTCATTTCCAGTGTAGAACGTTGTTTGATTAAATTAATATAGGGTACTGTAAATATATTAAATATAAAAGATAAATATAAAGAAAAATGAAATTAAAATTTCTTCTCAACAAAAGCGAACAAAATGCAATCAAATGTACTGTATTTATGATGTATTTGTGCGAATTTCGCTTCGCTGATATTGTGCATTTTGTTTGTGTAGTAGCGATTAATCATGATTGTTTGCTTACTTCTTTTTCGATTTGGCGTTGTTGCTGTATAATTAGCTCATCTTGATTCAACTCCAAATTTTCAACGTTTGTATCCATTTTGATGCTCTTATTTTAATATTGAACTGATTTTTATCAAACTAATTAGACTTCACAGTATTCGTTTTCCACTAAGTGGCCCGAATATAAATTTAAAAAAAAAATTCTGCAATATATTTAGAAGAAGACCTTAGCACAATACAATGTAGATTTTGTTTGATATTTTTATGTATTCGATGCGGTGTTCGTAAATGTCAAAGTAACACATACAAAACCGGTGATTCTTCGTAACTACGAGTAGTAGGAAAATGGGGATTCGAGTGCAGTAGTTGCGTCAACCAAC